ATTGGGCAAATTCCAAAATTTAATTAGTATTCCAACCAAACTACGGTCGTTTTGGAGCCGATCGCTGTACAATACACAAAATTGAATGTAACAGTAAATTGATAGGTACACGAATTGATTACGTTATTGAGGAGTTGTGCGTTGATTTTCTGTTTCATCGGTGAATTTAATAGAGTAGTTGTCATCATAACCACAGTGTTAGAGTTAGTGTAAAGTTCGTTCATTGTCCTATCACTAGATGGCACCACATGCTATGTTTGTGTTTAAGTTTACATAGTTTTACCAATAGATGACACTTGTATTTTATGTACAAAATATTAGCCCGCGGTGTCCAGATTTTTTGCCCGTCCTTTAAATATAACCGGGACGCAATAAAGCATTGAATTCAGTTGACCTCAAGACAGTGTTTCATTCACTAGTAGTTAGTAGTACCCAGTCAGTGGTAGGTAGGAGTGAGTGATAGCGCCTAGAGAGTGCGCAGGGTGAGGGAATTCCACCCTCCTCTATGGGAGGGTTAAACACACAGAATAATAAAAAGTACTACGTACAGAAGGTTTACTTCGCGAAGGTATTAAAAAAAATGTATGCTCAATGTCATTAACAATATGGTGTAATTTAGCTTGTCAAGAGTCAATCTCCATTTTGTTGACAAACGTCAGTGATCGGCACTGCGCCGAAGTTGGCTGACTTCGGTAAAATGATGTGTGACGTGAGGTGCCAAACTGCGGAAAATGGCGGAGGAAATACATGATTTAAATGCATAATTATCATGAATAATATTAACCGCTTTATTTACCTCTGTGTCTTCAGGCAACTTAAAAAAGTACATTCTGTGTTTTTATTATTATTTAGGCAGTTAAATACTGCACAGTATTTAGTACACCATTTTCTCTTTTTTTTTCCATCATACACAAGAATACGCGTGCGTGAGTCAATGCTCGCTCGTATGTGAGGCCTTGTCGAATAGTAATCCTGTTGGGTGCCATCGTGCTTGTTTTGTTTTCGATGTAAACTCGCGGAGATGAAGAACAGGCCTGTCATAACTTACTTACGCCCGTATTCACAAACATTACTATGAGGTCTCACAGTGCGCGTGGACGCACATGGTGACACACGAACCAATCACAGAGCTCTGTGCTGTGCGTTCGATTTGCTGCTTTACTTAAGCAAGCAACGTTTGTGAATGCGGGCGTTAGTAGTCAGCGCGACGTAATGTGTCTCTCCACGTCAATAAATAGTTCATACGTCCTCATCATTATCATTTCAGCCACAGGACGTCCACTGCTGAACATAGGTCTCCCCCAATGATTTCCAGTTGACTGGTTGGTAACGGCCTGCATCCAGCGCCACAATTTACCAATAAATTGCAAGATACTATTTCTGAAAACTCTTTTTATACTTTAAAAAACTCAGTTATTATCAGTTCTAAATCTATATATATAAGACTATTAGTCTATTCATTCATTATCTAGGATCGGCAAAATGAAACAATGTGTTGCTCTTGTAAAGTAGTGATATTTTCAACAATATTCTATCATCTATTCACACAGAAATTGTTTACGAATCACAACAGAGAAACGACATTTAAAGTTAATTCATCAGCTTGTCGATTCCTTTAAAATTATTATACACTAGCTTTCCGCCCGCGGCTTCGCCCGCGTGGAATTTTGTCTGTCACAGAAAAACTTTATCGCGCGCGTCCCTGTTTCAAAAACCGGGATAAAAACTATCCTATGTTCTTTCCCGGGACTCAAACTATCTCTATGCCAAATTTCATCAAAATCGGTTGCGAGGTTTAAGCGGGAAAGCGTAACAGACAGACAGACAGACAGACAGACAGACAGACAGAGTTACTTTCGCATTTATAATATTAGTTGGGATTTTCATCTTCTAAAATAATAAAATTTTCACTTTAATAACACCATGTCAGATGTCACATGTCACATGTCAACATGAAAAAGAAAAGTAGCTCTGCTCTCTGCCTAATTAAAAAAACAACTAAAGAGGATTTATTCTCTTATATCTCCCCCCCTAGGTAGGAAAATTTTCCCATGAAAATTTTCACTAAGTAACCACACATTCACGTTAGGGATAAACAATTCACATCATCGTCCAGTGTAGCAATAGGAATGAGCTTTGTGATATGGAAAAGATTTGACTCCNTGCAATATCCTGTTGTAACTAAGCTTTAAGTTTACTAAGGTACCTGCATGCCAAATTTCAAGCGTCTATCTTACGCGGTTTAGATTTTTTCATACAAATGTTTTTTCCCGCTAACTCCCGTTCCCGTGGGAATTTTACAATATCCTGTTGTAACTAAGCTTTAAGTTTACTAAGATACCTGCATGCCAAATTTCAAGAGTCTATCTTACGCGGTTTACATTTTTTCATACAAATGTTTTTTCCCGCTAACTCCCGTTCTCGTGAGAATTTTGCAATATCCTGTTGTAACTAAGCTAACTTGTATTTATTTGACATTTAGAAATTAATGTATAATTTATTACTATTTAATTAATTTTTAGTCTGCACTCTGTATTAAATTTAACTGTGGAAACTTCGCTGATTTCTGTCCTATTTTTTTGTGTGATTATTTGTCTGTATATCAAAATTGTTTGTTTCCCTAATATAAATAAATAAATAAAATAAAATAAAACTCCCGTTCCCGTAGGAATTTTGCAATATCCTGTTGTAACTAAGCTTTAAGTTTACTAAGATACCTGCATGCCAAATTTCAAGAGTCTATCTTACGCGGTTTAGATTTTTACATACAAATGTTTTTTCCCGCTAACTCCCGTTCCCGTAGGAATTTTACAATATCCTGTTGTAACTAAGCTTTAAGTTTACTAAGGTACCTGCATGCCAAATTTCAAGGGTCTATCTTACGTGGTTTAGATTTTGTCATACAAATGTTTTTTCCCACTAACTCCCGTTCTCGTGAGAATTTTGCAATATCCTGTTGTAACTAAGCTTTAAGTTTACTAAGGTACCTGCATGCCAAATTTCAAGCGTCTAACTTAAGCGGTTTAGATTTTTCATACAAAAGGATTATCCCGCTAATTCCCGTTCCCGTGGGAATTCCTAAGTATCCTATAACCTGCCCAGTAGTATGAAGAATAATTGTACCAAGTTTCGTTAAAATCCGTCAAGTAGTTTTGGTTTCTATAAGGAACATACAGACAGACAGACAGACAGACAGACAGACAGACAGACAGACAAAAATTTTACTGATTGCATTTTTGGCATCAGTATCGATCACTAATCACCCCCTGATAGTTATTTTGAAAATATATTTCATGTACAGAATTTACCTCTCTACAGATTTATTATAAGTATAGATTATATATATTTAACAGTTACATCCTTGATTAAATAACATAAGAATAGAAACATAAATATAAATAAATTATAAAATACGACTATAAAATCGTTCGCAGTAAAGTTTTTCGATGTAACGTAACATCGCAGTAACAAGGCATCGATATAACAAGGTGTCGCAGTATAGTAACTTCGCAGAAAGGTTTTCGAATAAACAAAATTCGATGTAACGTTTGTCGCACTCACGTAGGTAACCCGTCCCCCCGCTCACTCGGGGTGGTGGCCGCATGTGCTCGATGGTGTAACGGGGTACGCGGGGGTGGTGCGGGCGATAGGAAGCGCCGTCTCGAAAGTTTAAGGAGACTTTTGAATGAGGTTCTTTACTACCTAATCCCAATCCCAACTAATATTATAAATGCGAAAGTAACTCTGTCTGTTTGTCTGTCTGAGTTTATTGTAAATTTGATTAACATACTAATATACCAATCTAAACATTGTTTTTCAAGTAGATGTTTTAAAATCTCAATTTTCTCCGCATCCTGCAGTATGTCAAAACGTGAGCACTCATTCTCAAATTCACTAATCCATTGGTCAACATTTGAGGTTTTTCCCGAAAATTTCTCAAGTAAAAATCTTTCGGTTGTTTTTCCTAGATTTTTATTTCCAGTTTCCGTGTTATCATTATCCAAAATTTTGGTCACATTCGTGATTTCATCTAGATATTGATCACTAAATTGTACGTTTTCACCTTCATCTAGATATATTTTTCTTAATTCCATTGTTAACGGGATCCATATTTTCCGCGTTTGATGTCTTTTCTTTAGCGAATTTTTGACTTTTGTATAGACGTCAGTACTCGTTATGCCTGTATGTTTTACTTGCAGGTTTCAGATCGTCGGGTATATCAAATATGCGTCCATCGGGTGTCTCGATAGAATTCACACATATCACATTCGTTTTACCATCAGATGCCGCCAATACCGTGAACGTGAATCGTAATTTTTCCATTTTTCTTGACTAAAAATGTCGTTTTATAAGACTATTAGTCTATTCATTCATTATCTAGGATCGGCAAAATGAAACAATGTGTTGCTCTTGTAAAGTAGTGATATTTTCAACAATACTCTATCATCTATTCACACAGAAATTGTTTACGAATCACAACAGAGAAACGACATTTAAAGTTAATTCATCAGCTTGTCGATTCCTTTAAAATTATTATACATTTTCATCTTATAATAAAATTTTCACTTTAATAACACCATGTCAGATGTCACATGTCACATGTCAACATGAAAAAGAAAAGTAGCTCTGCTCTCTGCCTAATTAAAAAAACAACTAAAGAGGATTTATTCTCTTATATATATTATACTAGCTTTCCGCCCGCGACTTCGCGCGCGTGGACTACATTATCTACATATTTTACGGAACCCAATTTTTTTCCAAAATAAAATTTAGCCTATGTTACTCGTGGATAATGTAGCTTTCAAATGGTGAAATGATTTTTAAAAACGGTCCAGTAGTTTTTCAGCCTATTCATTACAACCAAACAAGCAAACAAAGTTTTCCTCTTTATAATATTAGTGTAGATTTTCGATACATATTTTTCATTTTATAGCACTGCTTCCTTAGCTGGTTTGAGGTGGTGGAATACTCTAATTACACCATTGTCCATTGTCTCAAGAATCTTCTAACGTATCCACAGGAGGGGTCGATGTCCCCCGCGGGCGCTGGTACAACAGGCGGCGCGGCGGGCGAGGTGCGGCAGCCGGTGCCGGGCGTGCTGCTCATGGACTACCACCAGCGCTCCGGCCAGCCGCCGCAGCCCAACGGTCAGTGGCACACAATATTTGTTATTTGATCAAATGTTATTGGCACGTATTTCCCCAATAAATTAGCATGCCCTTGCAGGACGTCTATGTATGTACCTTGTTTCTACTTTCCATTTAAGGTCATAGTAGACGTATCGACTCGGAAAGGGATCAACACCGTATCACCGTTTGCGAGCTGAGCTGTCATCGCCTTTCGCGCTCTATCAATCGTAGTAAGTTGTAGCGAGGCAAGGCGTTTGTTTACGTTACGTTGCGGATAAGTGTGCGTTGAAGTATGGGTTTCATACAAAGAATACTGACCGCCTCAAGTTGATACGGTTACGATCCCTTTCCGGGTTGATAAATGTGCTACGGCCTTTAATTTGGATTTGACATTTAAATTGAAACTTAATCGTACCTCGTTTTAATTACACTTAACATTAAAATAGATAAGTCTAGGGCTAGAGCCTTTTAGTTTCAGCCAAATGACGTCCAATGGTGGACAAAGGCCTCGCCCAAGAAATTTCTATAACAACCGGTCAAGCGCTGCCCGCATCCAGGTACTTTCTGCGACTTTCACCTGATCTATGCTAGCTAGATAGATTGACGCTACACTACGTCTTCCTGCCCATGATCGCCATTCCAGAACATTTATTCTGGGTGCTAGGGCTTTATTCTTAGCTTATTTAGCTTCTAACTAACACGATTAATAAAATTTCCAGGCGTCAGCGAAACCAGCGCGACGGGCGGCGGCAGCTCGCCCGGCGCCAAGGACCAGCTTATGTACCTGGCGCAGCTGTTGGGCTTCACTGTGCAGTTCTCCGACTTCCCCAAGGTCAGTGGGGTTTGGTGTAGTGCCTTTATGTGGATCAAGTCTACTGTTGATGCTGATTTATCCTTGTAGCGTTATAGTCCGGCAACTTATTAATAAGTGACCGTCTTGGGGGATAATAGACGGTGGTTGGGACGAGGTATCAACTTGCCAATGGGTAGCGGGTGGTGTAACGGGGAAGGGCAACGCTTTGTCTCTATCTCCGTCTGTCCATCGCAGGACGATCGCACACGTAGTTATCAGACTGTAAAACAACAATTTTTTTGCAGCAAAGTGACGCTTTTACACGTCACAAACATAGCTTGCACCACTTCGGGACAACATACGGGCTGGTGTTGAGAATTGGCCGAAGAAACTTAGTCACCTTTATATTTTCTATAATCTGTTCTGCGAGCACGTAGAATTTTGTTCAATGACCCCAAGCTACCCATCCTTATCGTTCGCGCGTAATTAATTATATTGCTGTCGTGTAATTAAATTCTACGTGCTCACAGACCGGGCTTTATCAACGTTCTTTTATTTTACTTTATTATGATCTACATATCTGATAAAACCTTATAACCTTGTTCGTGTATTTTCCAGCGCAACCACGGCGAGTACCTATCGCTGGTGTCCCTCTCGACGGAGCCGCCAGTGATGTGCCACGGCGGCGGGCCCTCCACCGCGCACTCGCACGAGCAGTGCGCGCGCGCCGCCCTCCGCGCGCTCGCGCTCATNGGCTGTTTTTCCTAGATTTTTATTTCCAGTTTCCGTGTTATCATTATCCAAAATTTTGGTCACATTCGTGATTTCATCTAGATATTGATCACTAAATTGTACGTTTTCACCTTCATCTAGATATATTTTTCTTAATTCCATTGTTAACGGGATCCATATTTTCCGCGTTTGATGTCTTTTCTTTAGCGAATTTTTGACTTTTGTATAGACGTCAGTACTCGTTATGCCTGTATGGTTTACTTGCAGGTTTCAGATCGTCGGGTATATCAAATCTGCGTCCATCGGGTGTCTCGATAGAATTCACACATATCACATTCGTTTTACCATCAGATGCCGCCAATACCGTGAACGTGAATCGTAATTTTTCCATTTTTCTTGACTAAAAATGTCGTTTTATAAGACTATTAGTCTATTCATTCATTATCTAGGATCGGCAAAATGAAACAATGTGTTGCTCTTGTAAAGTAGTGATATTTTCAACAATATTCTATCATCTATTCACACAGAAATTGTTTATGAATCACAACAGAGAAACGACATTTAAAGTTAATTCATCAGCTTGTCGATTCCTTTAAAATTGTAATACATTTTCATCTTCTAAAATAATAAAATTTTCACTTTAATAACACCATGTCAAATGTCACATGTCACATGTCAACATGAAAAAGAAAAGTAGCTCTGCTCTCTGCCTAATTAAAAAAACAACTAAAGAGGATTTATTCTCTTATATATTATTATTATTGACTATGAATTATTTAATAATTATTTATAATATTATGTAAAATGCATGATTTGATAAAACTATTAATTGACTATGAAATTTTTGCATGTCTTGTAGACGAAACATGTTGAACCTGATTGTTTTTATCTGACATCTGTATTGTACCATGTTCCTGTGCAAATAAATGAATTTGAATTTGAATTTGACACCGCGCACAAGGCAGCTTGGCTGTGGCGGCCAGTCGAACATGACGGCACAAACGGTGTATCAGTGTATGGCTGCCCACGCACTAGGCAGTCAAGAGTGTTCTTATACCGCAGCCTGGCTGTGGCTGCCAGGCTGCCTAGTGCGCGGGAGGCCTAATACTACAGCTAGCTACTGCAATTTGTAGATTCCAAACATTACGATGTAATTTTATACCAATTACGGGTTTTATTTTAATAAATTTAGGGAACCTTAATCGTCGGCATAAAAGATAACTTCAATAAATTAGATAATCATTGTCGCGGTGGTTGTATAATCGCAAACATGTCACGGAAATTAGTTTATTTTGACATAACTGGGTACAGCGAGCCCATCAGGTATATGTTGCACTATGGCGGGCTGAAGTTTGATGACGTCAGATACAACATGCAGGAATGGCCGATCAAAGAGATCAAGGATTGTGAGTACAATTACTATTATTTTATTCGGGTTAGGCCTCAGCCTCGAACTTAGCGGGCAGCGGGGCGGCGGCGGCGGCGGCGCGGGAGCGGGGCGGGCAACGCAGACCCGTTCTCGAAACAAGCGGGCAGCTCGCGCGGCGCTTTAGCGGCGAAGTGTTGTGTTCGGGGTTGTGTTGTCGAGATATTTGTTTTTATTCGCGAACGAAATGTCTGAACAACGGCGACAATTTTATTTCGATTCAAATTTATTCCTAACGCTCGATTTATTGTGGGCAAAAGAAGGAGTGCGCTGCCCGCTCGTTGCCCGCTCCCTCGCCGCTGCCCGCTCGTTGCCCGCTCCGGCGCCGCTGCCGCGCCGCTGTTTTCGAGAACCGGTCTATTTGATTTTACGCATAAGATCCTGCCGCTCCCGCGCCGCGATGCGTATTATCTAATGAGCATCAATCCAACAGAAAGTAACTGCCTTTAAAATCATCCTGAATAAAAGATAAAACGATAATATTATTTTGATCACTTCGTTGTTTTAAACATTATTATTTTTTTCTGTCAGTATCAGTCAGATTAAACATGTCAAAAAATGACAATTGACATTTAAAACGTTTTGTTCTCCATGTTCAAGCGTTCTGTTAACCTTCAAAGCGTTTTGTTAACCTTGTTCCGTATTATCATAACATTGAATTTATCTTTTTATTCTGAAGTTGTAGAAATATGGTATGATTACATTTTTTGTTGTATAAATCAAGACAAAGAAATTGGTAATATTTTCATTGTTGTACACTCCGTCTAAAGACGGTACCAACACTACATAGGTTTCTGCCAATGTTCTTTCACGCTACTTCCGTTAGAGCATTTTCACACTACTTCCGAACCAAATCCGTCAAAATATGGAGAAATGTGAAATCGGGTGTGTTAGAGCATTTTCACACTACTTCCGAACCGAATCCGTCAAAATATGGAGAAATGTGAAATCGGGTGTGTTAGAGCATTTTCACACTACTTCCGAACCGAATCCGTCAAAATATGGATCTAGAAAAGTAATAGAGAGATATCTAATGAAGGATATCTAATTTTTGTATGTGAACTACCATACAAAATAGCTCTAATATTTTGGACCGTATCTCCTAGGATTCGGATCGTACGGAGTGCAAAAACACTCTTAGGATTTGTTGTTAGCTAGTAAATATTGACAAATACTGTTTCCAGGCGTCAGCGAAACTAGCGCGACGGGCGGCGGCAGCTCTCCCGGCGCCAAGGACCAGCTCATGTACCTGGCGCAGCTGTTGGGCTTCACCGTGCAGTTCTCCGACTTCCCCAAGGTACGTGGCCTTTATGTGGACGGTAAATACAAATGAGTAGTACGTACATACGTATTGGCGCGCTCACATACAAACCGTGCTCGGTGCGTTTCTATGAAGATGACCTACTCATTTGTATTTACTATGGTACCTATTATCAAGTGTACTGCTGATGTCGATTCTTGTACTTTGTACTTCATTCGTGACCGTCTTGCGGGGTAATAGTACGGTAACTTATTTTTTTGCAAACGTCCTGCGAAGTAACAAGCGGTCCCGGGGACGAGGTATCAGAATGTCAACGGGTAGCGGGGAAAGGCTATACGTATGCTACTGCAACTACTGCTACGTGTTACCTCGTCCCCGCGTTTGTCCATCGCAGAACGGTCGCGCACGAAGTTATCTGACTATAAAAAAACTCATAAAAAAACTCAATTTTTTGTAAATGAGCTTTTAAAACGCCAAATATAGCTTGCCCTGCCACTTTAGGGCTGGGCTATGCAACATATGGCTGGCTGAGAAGTGGCGTAAGAAACTCGGTCACCTTTATATTTTTATCAATGTATAATTTGAGGCTTTTCTCGCCTGAAACAGGTTTTTAACCTAGCTCAGGCTACAAAAGACAATGAACTCTAGCATAATAAGTTTTTATAATGCTCTTATTTTAATGAATAAATTATTATTTATTTATTTTAATGTTGACGTGTATTTTACAGCGCAACCACGGCGAGTACCTATCGCTGGTGTCCCTCTCGACGGAGCCGCCAGTGATGTGCCACGGCGGCGGGCCCTCCACCGCGCACTCGCACGAGCAGTGCGCGCGCGCCGCCCTCCGCGCGCTCGCGCTCATGGGGCTCGACGCGCCCTCGCCCGCGCCGGGGTGAGTACATCACCATGCTAAAACTACACGGTAGAAGTCGCTAATTTTTATTTTCTGAGCGAATTATGGCATTTTATAAACACTGGAATGAAAATTAGGAGTTGTCAAAAATGACCGATTACGTGATTGTGGCTTGGCCCGAATGGAAAAGTCGACTAGGCTCACCGGTGGGCCGTATGGCGCTCAACGTGCTAGTGATGTACTCACCCCGGCGCGGGCGAGGGCGCGTCGAGCCCAAAGTCGACACTAAAGCCTGGTCCGTGAGCACGTAGAATCCCGTCCGATGACCCCAAGCTGCCCATCCTTGTCGCTCGCACGTAATTATGTTGCTGTCGCGCTCGCACACTCACTGCGGGCGTGTCCACCGCGCCGCGCTCATGGGGCTCGACGCGCCCTCGCCCGCGCCGGGGTAAGATAGATATAGTCTGGTCTGTGAGCACGTAGAATCCCGTCCGATGACCACAAGCTGCCCATCCTTGTCGCTCGCACGTAATTATGTTGCTGTCGCGCTCGCACACTCACTGCGGGCGCGCGTCGCACAGTCGCGACAGCAATATAATTACGCGCGAGCGATAAGGATGGGTAGCTTGGGGTCATTGGACAAAATTCTACGTGCTCACGGACCAGGCTTTAGTGTCCACCGCGCCGCGCTCATGGGGCTCGACGCGCCCTCGCCCGCGCCGGGCGTATAGATCGTTTCTCATATTTGAAAATCCTTGTCCAAATCCAGATTTCAACTGTCAAACATGCAGCTTTAGATTAAATGTCCACAATTTTTGATGCATTTACACTTTAATATTATTTAAACAGTGTTATAAATAATATGAAAATGTAAAAAACATCGAAAACCGTAGATATTTTGACCAAAAACTAATTGAAATTTGACAGTTGACGGACCTATTTAAATTACCGAAAACACTCAAACATTAGCGGAAGAATGGTAGGGCGCGTCTTCGTGGGTGAAACGATCTACATACATATATCTAGACTTTCCCTTCGCGTAAAACCCATTTCCACTTAATCGAGTCATCTAAAGAGATGGACATGCCAGTGTCATAAATTGAGAACAGCCCCTTACTTATTCTTTACGCATATTACAACCTTGTTTCTGTATGATAAAAGGCATGTATTTAAATGATCTTTTTAAATTAGCAAAAACGGCAATTAAAAAAATCTAAATGTTCATCTATTTTAATGATTGATCCTCTTTCTTTGAGACATAAAATAAATGAAATCGATCGATATTTTAATCTCTTTTGAACTACGCAAAAAATTATTGAGATGTAAAAATTATATCTGATCGTTACTTGTTGGTCCTCAAAAATAAAAGAAATGAGCACCAAATATTCAACATTGTGATACTTTTTTAAATAATTCGATTTATATAAATTATTTTTTGTCTATATCAAATAATCTTCAAAATAATGATGTTATGGTACTTATTTTTATTAAGTTGTAGTCAAAGGATGGAAACTATTTAAAGGCACTTGATGTTCAAAGATTTATTTTTTATTAAAAAAGCATACTTAACACGGATTAATAAGCATACGAACANTGATAAAATAACTCATAAACTGTCTCTATAGGCCGATATTAATACATTTTTTATTTATTGCTTTTCGTGGTTTATCACCGACAGTTTCCTATGCAACTAGCCCATCGTGCCGCCTTTCTCTCGTGGAATAATGTAAAATGTTTACTCTTCACACGAATGCATGCATAATAATACTTACATTTTTATTTCAGGATGCAAAGCGTGCCTGCCACGGGCGGCGGACCGAAGCCGAGCACGGTGAATGGCATCGCCGAGTGAGCAGGCGGCAGCTACTGGTACTGGCGTGAATATCTCACAGCGCGGAAGTCGTTCGGGCGACGCGTGCATGCTGCGACTTGTCGTTCCAGCTATGACATATTCACAAGCGCGACATTTTGATCTCGGGTCTTGCAACATATTTAGTTCATTTTTTAATTCGAAACGTTTCCTATTATGTTAGAATGACATATTATTATGTATATTTTTTGTTATACACGCGCGATCTGTGGGGGAGCCGTTTTAGTTATTCTCGAAAGATGTTTGTTTTTCATTGAAACATTTCCGCTCACAAACTAGGTGTACATTTTTTATATTATTTTTATTGATACTTATACATTTTATTGCAAACGGATTATGTTCTATTGAGCAGAGGAGGTTGGCTCATCTCGATTATTGTTAAGAGTAGTTCCAAATAGATTATACTTATATCCACAACATTATGTAATAATTGGTTATATTTATATGATAAAGCGTAGCTGATTTCTTAGGTAGGTAATTGGACATGTATCAATAAAATTATGTAGAGAAACGAATAATATATCGAAACTGAGGCTGTGAGGCCAAACCAAAACAGTTTCATTGGGATTCGGCGACCGTCGCGACCTCGTGCGTCGTTAGTGACGTAATTAAATTATAATAAAAGCTCATTATATTCATGCAGTGCAGAGCGTTCGTCATGCATGAAATAATGATGAAACAACAGCTGCATCATGTAACGGCCAATAAAAAGACCGAGAAGTCGATAAAATGCATGGCATATCGTTAGAATTTACTGGTACGCATGTGATGTGTTTTTTATAATCCAGTATAATAAGCTGTATACCATATTGATAGTCTTCTCGAGCCTCGCGTTACATGGTGTCGCGTGTTGCGGCCCGACGCGTGCATCATGCGGCCATGGTGTTAGCGTAGGTAGGCGACGAACGTTGTGGCCTCGATTTTAAACCAACAACTAGTGGGTGAGCGTTCAAATTTCCCCCGACCCTAAGCTATGAAATGTGTAATTCTAGAAGTAAGCTTCGACAGGACTGGACGACTAGCGATTGCGCTCCTTCGACTTAGGCTAAGGTTGGAAGTTGCTTGTTAATTTTAGGCTCTATGTAACCTTCGTCTAATGCATGTACCCCTAATGAAGTAGTATAGCGTTTGACTAATCGTAAAGCAATTTTTCTCTAGGTGTAAAGTATGATAAGTGTGAACACGATTGACCGGGGCCGTTGTTTGTCGACTTGCGTTGCGGCCCGGTCGGTCGTACAAGTGTACTGCCGATTGTACATTTCATTGTATTGGGTCCGATTATACACTTTATTACTTAGGAGGTATCCTATTGCTATGTACTACTATTAGGTAATCGTCTTCGAGTAAGCAAAATTATGCTTACTCGCGGGCTGATTTTAAGATGGTACCAATTTTACCTACGAACTCAATTCTATTTTAATTTGTTGAAACGATTTTAAATCGAGGCCATCGCGAAAATTTCTTCATGTTAAAAGTTGCACAAGTAACATAGCATAAAGAAATTAATTATAAAGACGCCACGAGGGCATTAAGAAGCGTTTTATTTATTTTGTTCTAAGCAACTAATATTTTATATTGGAGGGCAAAGCAAGTCCCAATGAACTTTGTGCTTTTAGCAATAAATTGTAAGGATACAACAATAAAGTTAAATATTTACTCAATTGTTTCATTTACTGTCTGCTAACACAATTAAAATGACAAAGTTCAAAAATAAAAACAAGGTTTTATTAATAAAAAATAGTAGCAATGCGTAACAATATCACCAGTCTTATCTAAGACCCAGAGGTAATCATCCAGACTGTGGTTGCGTTTATTTACATAATACTATTTCTGTTTATCTCATTGTAATACTAAATCCGATAATATGGCAGCTGGGTTACTTCACGAATTTCAGTTTTAGTGCTTGTGTTATGAAGCACAAGATGTCTGTGTGTTCTTCAATCTGAAAATAAAACGATTTCGTTATTCAAGTGCTTACACAAGCTACTATTTATTTATTTAAGGATAGTACTCAGCACAATATCATGACATTGACAGATATGTCAAAATCCACCAATCACGCAGCAGTCAGACCCCACATCCACGTCCCGCTATCTAGCGGATCTTTCATTCGCGAAACCCTCATTTGTAATAACAATGTTTTTAGTAGATTTATACTTACTAGTTGGCGCCACTATACAGGTTGTTAGGTAAATGGGTATATGAGCCGACACTAGCCCATGTTAACATAGTCACATAAATGGTATGGTGAAGTCAGAAATTTGATATCATTTTATTTTTTTTAATTTTCATACAAAATAAATTTTATAAAATCCGATTTGTATGAAAATTAAAATAATTAAAATGAAGATATCAATTTTCTGACTTCACCATACCATTTATATGACCATGTTAACATGGGCTAGTGTCGGCTCNTTGAAGATCTTCAGTCGTAGGGAGTGGACAGAGGCGAGTTAGGGGCCGCCGCACGCAGCCACGGGTCGTGTTGACATCCGCCACTCTCGAGATGCCGTCGGGTCTCGGGAAGAGCCGCAACACGCGTCCCAGGCGCCAGTTCAAGGGCGGCGCGTGGTCTTCAGCAAGGAGTACCATATCTCCAATATTGAGCTGGGCTGTATTGCTACGCCATTTAGTCCTCTGTTGTAGCTCTGACAGATACTCCTTGTTCCACCTCCGCCAGAAGTGCTGCCTTATGCTTTCTAGCCGTAGATAGCGATTCCGTGGATTTTCGCGTGTGAAAGATCCGCTAGATGGCAGGACGTGGATGTGGGGTCTGACTGCTGCGTGATTGGTGGATTTTGACATATCTGTCAATGTCATGCCAAAAATAACCAATCATGCAGCATTTGGACCTCGCGTCTACGTATTGCCATCTGACGGATTTTTCATACGCGAAAACCCTCATTGAAACAGCACCATATTTAAAGTATGATATACTCACAATCTTAGCGGTGGGCTTCCCTCCACCGTGTCCCGCCTTGGTGTCAACTCGCGCCAGCAGAGGGCGCGCCTGACGAGACGAAGCGCCGGCGGTGTGCTGCAGCGCCGCGATGAACTTCAGCGAGTGAAGCGGCACCACGCGGTCGTCGTGGTCTGCTGTTAGTACGAGCGTCGCTGGGTACTCGCTGTGCTCTGGGGACAGAGAAAGGTGTAAAGAAAGGTATTCGCTACAAACAAGGCCGAGTTGCACTACGAAACTTTAACAATAACCGGTGATTTTAGTATGGAGTTTGACAGATTTTTGATGTTTGTTACTGTCAAAGTAAGATAAGCAACCCAGCCAGGTGTAACGAAAACTTAGCCGATTCAAAAGAGGCAAAATTTTTTTATAACTTGAAAGAGGCTATTGTTTTAGTGCTCACCAATTGGCGCTACTGTAGACTAAGATAAATCACTTGCTAGTTACGAAACAGTGGCGCCAACTGAGCGCTGAAGCGGTAGGAAGTCCATCGCATTTGCACTCGCCAGAATGGCGCCACTGTAGGCCATTTCTTATGTGTAATCATTATCATTAATTTGTATGAAGAATCGGGCGATTACCATACTAGATAATATGCGCACTTTGATACATTTTTTTTTATAATTACATTATTTAGCCGTTACATTTTTAATTTAAATAATGTCTTAAATCCTCTTGAGGTTTGTCCAGACACTATTGTTCTCTATACAAATCTCTATGCTGATGAATAGCCCGACCCAACTATCGTCCAACTAGAAGTCGGTGGTCTGCGCCAACTAAATTAATGATTTTTGTAGCTTTTTTTAGCAATTGAGTAATAACTTCGCTTACCGTCATCGGGCGGGTGTATGTTGTGGAGCGGCGAGTACTTGAGCAGGTTGTGGAAATGCGTCTCGTTGTCGGAGCTGCCGTAGTCCGACACCCACGCGTGCCCGATCGTGAACTTCTGGAAGCGCAGCATGTCCAGCACGCTGCGAATAGATATAATAAATAAGTGTCCATTAATACGCGTACTCTTGCTTTGTATACCTTAAATGATAATTATGCTGAATAAAGACATTCTTATTCTTAAAACCTACTACCAAAAATATATTTCTGTATTGTCACACATGTTCTGATAAATAAAAATATCTTTATATATTAATCAAAATAAAACATCAGTGCGATTCCTTAGTCCACATGCACATCATCCAAATCAGTTCAGCCATTTAAGAGCCGGAGCCGCAACAAACCAAAATTGTCATAATCGGAGTAATCATTTACGTAGGTTATACGTTTTAATGCTTGCGACTGTATAATTAGACTAGGCGTGCAGGGATCTTTGTCGCCGTGACAATAAATCTGTCCCTTTTCATCTTTTGCACCTTTATTTATAGAGGAAAAAAAAAAACTTTTGCGGATCTAGCGGCATATCTGCTCCTCTCGCTCGCTCAAAGTTGACTTTTATAGAGGATGTGGTGATAGCATCGTCCTTGTTAAATCATAATTATTTGTACTTTTGAGAACTTTAGTGGTCCATTTTTGAATTTCTGGATGGAATATGCAGTCAAAAATCACTGACCCCACTTGCACGATGGCAGCGCCGTAGACACGGTAATACTATCTATACAGTATTCCAACTCGGCCATATTTTTAAAATAAATGACAACAGCAGCGCGGTATGTCACCGTATGACAACATGCGATAGGGCTACTCACCTACAGTACCCATTCTAATTACATCTGTCTACTTATAATTTTTATCTAGTTTTGTGAATGTATTTTGTGATTGTAATTTTTTATTTTATTTTGACAAAAAAAAATAACATACTGAATGAAATAGGATAAAATGCATGTTGTTTTGTGATTAGTATATTTAATTAAAAATTATATTTGTTTTAAAATTTAGTAATAAATCTTATAAATTTGCGTCCGTAAAATGTATGCGCCTCGACTAAGGCGTACAAAATTCTTGATTATTATACAGGGTGTTAGGTAAATGGGTTTATAAGCCGACACTAGCCGATACTTAGTGAAGTCAGAAAATTGATATCATCATTTTAATAATTTTAATTTTCATACAAATCTGATTTTATAAATTTTATTTTGTATGAAAATTTAAAAAAATAAAATTATATCACTGACTTCACCATACCATTTATATGCATAATATGTTAACATGGGCTAGTGTCAGCTTATAAACCTATTTACCTAACACCCTGTACAAATGGGTAGTTGTAATTATTTTTATAAAAAAAGAGCGCTTACTGTTTCAAAAACAACACATCGTCCGTTTATTACCGTGGCACATTCGCGACACCCCCGACTTTTGCATGTCGAGCGCATACCGAGATTTGAATTTCGAAGGAAAGCTCTCGTTTCGTCTTTTTATATGAAGTTACAATACTGTGTGATACTATTACCGTGCCGTAGAGGTCGGGCCGCTGGTTGATGCAGGCGGCGACTAGCAGCCCGCCGTTAGAGCCGCCCTGTATAGTTAACAACTCGGGCCGCGAGTACTTCTCGAGGGTTAAAGTCCGGTCAACGAACACATAGAATTTCTTCCAATGACCTCAAGCTATATCCTTAGCGCTCGCACGTAATTATATTTCTGTTTCGCTCGGACACTCACTGAGGCCGCCCGTCGCACAGTCGCGACAGCAATATAATTACGCGCAAGCGATAAGGATGGGTAGCTTGCGGTCATTGGACGAAATTCTATCTGCTCGGCGACCGGACTTTAGATACTCGGCGCCCGCTTGGAAGTCGTCGAACACATTCCTTCTTATTGAGCAGGTGGCCTGCCCACTCCATGCAGCCGCGCGCGTTTTAGCGGAGGCCTTTAACAACGACTCTAATGCTAGAAGTTCTGTGTAGTAGATTGCTAGTTCACTGACCCCACTTGCACAATAGCAGCGCCGTAGAGGTCGGGCCGCTGGTTGATGCAGGCGGCGACTAGGAGCCCGCCGTTGGAGCCGCCCTGTATAGTTAACAGCTCGGGTCGCGAGTACTTCTCGCGGACCAGATACTCGGCGGCCGCTTGGAAGTCGTCGAACACGTTCTGCTTGTTGAGAAGACGGCCCGCGTTGTGCCACCGTTCGCCGTATTCGCTGGAAGAGATTGGTTATTATTAGTCAAAGCTTACTTTCTCTGTTTTTGCTGATGAAATAGGCGTAAAGAAATTTTATTTGAGATGAATTCGCTAGCTTCAAAATAACGTGGTCATCGCACGATGAAAACAAATACTCTATAACTAAAGGGCCATCCTTTCGAAGTTCCACCAATTTATGCAGTCTTCACGCGGTTACATAGTTTTTCAGGACCCGCAAACGGAGAAATTTCAATAGCCCATTGAAAACGGTCACAATATTCTTCGCTTTGTCTGTGAGCTCTTATACGCTTTATGTCGACTAAGAATTTTAGTGGTCGATATATCGACACAGTTATCGATTAATGAGAACGAGCCTTAATTAACAAGGATGACGTTTTGCAGATAGAGGCTATAGCCATAAGCTACATGGTACCTTGATGGCAGGTAAAGGCGAATGGGCCATAAGTTACAAGGTTATGACGTATTGCAGATAAAGACGAATAAGCTATAAGCTACAAGGTTGATGTGGTGACAAAGATGACGTAAGTGCGTTTTTCCTGTGATACCTATTTCGGCACGCGGATCAGATCCGTACGAGTGCCCAAATCCGCATCACAGGAAAAATAACACTTAATGCTATTGAACTCACCCGCCGCCGCGAATGTTGGGGATGGCGACGAGGCCGCGCAGGTGCTGCATGAACACGAGGCGCGTGACGCTGAAGCTCGGCTGGATGTTGATGTTGAAGCCGCCGTAGCCGTACACTAAGGCTGGGTTCGACCCGTCCCGGGGTAAGTCCTGGAAACAACACAATTGCCGTTTCATTGTCCCTCTATTGTTTTTCAGATGGACACGTTCTCAAGTTGACCAGACGTAGTTAGTGTAGGACGTCCATCGGGAGAGATGGATTTTTTTAAATGAAAATGCTAATTTCTGAAACTTTTAGTCTGTAATAATGGTATCCACTGAAAACCAGCCTCATGGCAAGGTTTGCCCTTCACCTTGCAGCCATGCGGCTTTTTCAGCAGTAGGTGAGACTTTCAGCTTTAGAATTCAAAGATTTGTCCTACTAGAGTAGAGTCCTAGATATTTGTCCATGATTTAAGATTAACCTCTTTCTGATATTTGACAGTGGGTTTAAGACTTGAAGGACTAAATCTTAACATCAAAAACAAGCCAATTTTTTCCAAAATCATATACCATACACTACTCTAACTTTGACAATACCAATTTATTGAGAGCCTCATCTTTTTATGTAAAATATAGGAAATCTAGATAATAACTCTCATCACTCACCTTTTTGGAAACGATAAACATAGGCACCTTGGTGCCATCTTTACTTGAATAGAACACTTGTTTAGCCTCATACTGCGATGCGTCGAATCCTTTCACTTTTACTTCTCTGAACACCTGGAAAATAATGAAAATATCTATTTCATTATTGTGACTAGTATTCAATAATAAATATGTTAATTAACTACATGCCCTAATTTTTTAAATACGTAGTTGTTGCAATAGCAACAACTTGATATACACTAACTACACAAGAAAGGTATACTTTTTATAGTACCTAACTAGCTAATCAAAATAACTAATCAGACCAGGTATTACAGAGACTTGCCACTTGCTTTTTTCACAATTTTCTGAAATTAAAATATTTATTTAGTTAACAAAACGAATATTTTTTAGGATACTAAAAGTAACTACAGTATCATACTTTCGAACGTTTGAGACAGCAAAGAGGCAAGACCCTACTCACAGAAAGCCAAGTTATTTCTGACAAGTAGGCTATAGGGGTAGTTTCTAAAACATATGTTGGAATATTTATTCTACTAAAAACACTTGAGTTCTACAAATTGTAGGCAGGCCCCCTGCTAGGTGGATCGATGATCTGGTGAGGGTCGCGGGAGGTGCCACGATTCGGGCGGTACAGGACCGGTCGTGGTGGAAATCCTTGGGGGAGGCCTTTGTCCAGTAGTGGACGTCATTTGGCTGAAACGAAGAGTTCAACGAATGTCCTATATCAGTTAATCTCATTCACCCACCGTAGGCTCAATGGGCGTCTTCTTGAAGTCGACGTGGTAGATGACGCCGGGCGTGAGGAAGGACATGAAGTGGTAGAACACCTCGGATTGCTCCTTCTTGCCGCTGAAGCCCACGACTGAACCAACCGCTAGTGGGAACTCTTGGAGGAGCGCGCCGGTTGATAGCGCGTGGAGTTGTAGTACACTCTGAAATTGAATAAAAAATACCACATATACAGGGTGTTAGGTAAATGAGTATATGAGCCGACACTAGCCCATGTTAACATGGGCATATAAATGGTATGGTGAAGTCAGAAAAGACAATGCCGGAAATTGGCGTCTTTTTTTTTCGTGCGGCCATCGACCAAATCTTGTTTTTTGATTACAAAATAGTGTAATAAACCAAACTTACTATGACATGTATACCTCTAAACTCAGTCTGAACTGAGTTACGAGCATTAGAAGTTTATACCTAGTATTCGCTTTTTGCACACAAGTTTTGTATGAAATTGCAACAAAATAGTGACATTGTATGTGTAAACAAACAATACCATATCCATTAAAGGCTCCAGACATCAGTGTGGAGTAGAATCAGCGCAATAAAAAAATAGCGGAATATTTTGTTGCAATTTCTTACAAAACTTGCGCGCAAAAAGCAAATCTAGTATGTAAATTATCAAACTTCTAACGCTCGTAACTCAGTTCAGACTGAGTTTAGAGGTATACATGTCATAGTAAGTTTGGTTTATTACAATATTTTGTAATCAAAAAACAAAGTTTGGTCGATGGCCGCGCGAAAAAAAAAAGACGCCACCTTCCATACAAAATCTGGCATTGCCATTCGATATCATCATTTTATTTTTTTTAATTTTCATACAAAATAAATTTTATAAATTCCGATTAGTATGAAAATTAAAATAATTAAAATGAAGATATCAATTTTTTGATTTCACCATACCATTTATATGCCCATGTTAACATGGGCTAGTGTCGGCTCATATACCCATTTACCTGACACCCTGTATAAAAAGACGAGTGCGTCCTCTGCGTTGGACGCCACTTATTTACACCGTGAATTATCAGTATGTGTCTCTCATCTAGAAATGACTCCAATGTTTATAAAATACTTTGAGTTAGAACATACATACCTTCACATCTCTGACGTAATGTATAACGAGTTTGTCGTTGTCGACGGCCGAGGCCCAGTCCAATACGTCACTCGGATGCTCCTTTAAAAAGATAACAGACCCATTTTATTATGAACACCGTTATGGAAATGAACTTTAAATTTTGCATGTTACTTACAAAACTTCGTTTTTATTATTTTAGTAATTTTGTAAAATGTTAGTGAATAGAAAATGTAAAACAAATAAAATTGAAGGTTGAAAGAATCCCAATCCCAACTAATATAATAAATGCGAAAGTAACTCTGTCTGTCTGTCTGTCTGTCTGTTACGCTTTCCCGCTTAAACCTCGCAACCGATTTTGATGAAATTTGGCATAGAGATAGTTTGAGTCCCGGGAAAGAACATAGGATAGTTTTTATCCCGGTTTTTGAAACAGGGACGCGCGCGATAAAGTTTTTCTGTGACAGACAAAATTCCACGCGGGCGAAGCCGCGGGCGGAAAGCTAGTTGGCTATAAAAATGGGAAATTGAGATTTGAGAAGTTATTATTACAATACAATACAATACTGTAGAACTCCTTAGTACCTTACCGGTATCAATGTCTCCCAGTGCTCCTCGGCAGGGTTGTTGAGGTCAATCTTGATGAGCCGGTAGTTGGGCGCGTTCTTGTTGGTGCGGAATATGCACACGGAGCCTTCGTTGGTCACGTACTGGAAACGAAACGTGTTTGTTATGTCAACGTTTTAACGTAATCAGAGTACGTGATTTTGGAATGTTGAGTTTTGGCCACTCAAGCCGATTGGAATGAATAGTAAATAATAAATAAATATCCTTGGACATTTTACACTACACTCCTAGTCCCAAACTAAGCAAAGCTTGTACTATGGGTACTAGACAACGGATATAAACATACTTAAATACTTTTTTTGTAAATACATGTACATATTATACATAGAAAACACCCAGTCCAATACAAACAAATATGTTCATGCACACAAATGTTTGTACTGTGTGGGAATCGAACCCGCAACCTCCGGAATAGTAGTCCGTTTCGAACCACTACACCAAACGGCCGACAAACCAATGCCAGCGCGTGTAGAGTTAAATTATTTTTTTTTTAATTGCAATCACTTTACGCTCTAGGGCTCAGGGGGCTAGGGTTCAATCTGTAATTTTAAATCATCATCATCATTTCAGCCATATAGGATGGCCACTGCTGAACATAGGCTTCCCCCAATGATTTCCATGACCGGTTGGCCACGGCCTGCGTCCAGCACTTTCCTGCATCGAAGGTCGTCGGTCCACCTTGTGGGTGATTTTAAATATTTAAACCAATCGCATACCACTTTCAATTAATACTTGTGTGACGTTTCACAGTTCAGTAATTGTAATCACGCCTTTTTAACTTTAACTTCTTTTCTACATTCTTTATGTACAAGGATCGAACCATCAACCTCTCATGGCAGAGGTCGAGGGTTCGACGACAATGTAGTCCAATTCATCTTCTTTACCAAATGGAAAATCGACGTATAATACAACTATACAAGCATAAAGTACCTCGTAATCCGCCTCAAACTTATGCACGATCTGCGTGAGCGGCAGCAGGCCCGATATGTCAGCGTGTTGCGACAAGTCGGCGAAGAATAGCAGGTTGTCGCGACAGTCCTTCACTGGAGACACGATCAGGTAGCGACCGCAGTCTGTAACCTCCGCACCGCTGTGAATAAGGAGCTAGTTTAAAATAATAACCAAAATGAGATACAGCTTCTTTAAAAATACACATAAATCTTGCCTTAAAAATCTTATTTTCAATTTGGTGTAAAATGTGTTTAAACAAAGTTTAGAGACTTTATTGATTTCAAAACTACTATCATTATTTTTTATTATTTATTATTTTATTTATTTAATTAAAATAGAATCAGAATAGCCTTAGAGTAGGCGCACACCGTTGATTTTTAGTTGGCCGATAGTATTGCCCGATTTTAATTTGTATGAAGAATCGGCCAAATCGAATCGGCATAGTGTGCGCACTCCCATACATGCCCATACTGATCAACTGCCCGACTAAACTATCGGCCGACGAAAAATCAACGGTGTGCGCCTACTCTTAGGCTGAGTTGGACCATCTTACTTTTTAGCAAACGTCAAAAATCTGTCAAACTCCATAAAAAGCACCGGTTATTGTTATTGTTACGGTCAAAGCTAGGTGGTGCAACTCAGCCTTAGTAATTTATCTGTCAAATAATCGTCAGAGAACTAATTTAAACTTATCAGGAACTAGAGAAAATTGGCCCTGAGACATAAGGAGCAACACTTAAACTTATCTTTCAATTGAATAGAAATTATGGAAATCTATTTATCATAGATTAAAATTCAAATCAATTATTTGCATAACACGTGTGGGTTATTTTAAAAGGTGGTAAACATGGTTACTAATGGTACAAAGAAATAATATGCTTATTACAATACTACTATAATTACATTAAACTTTGTAGTCTAACTCATGTCATAATATACTATGAGATACTAGTATATGAAAATGATTTACTCACGGCTGTAATAATAATGTACATTGCCCATAAATAATCTTACAATACATTTGTATTTTACGAGAACAAAGGTAAATACATCAAAGCAAACTCATGTTTTCTCAAGTAAAAGTATCTACAGTAATGTACATAACCAGAGAAGACATACGAGCGTTTGTCTTGGCCCTGGATGTGAGTTTGAATGTCTCTGTTAATGAGAAAAATATAACGTTAGTTAATACTGAAAAAATAAACTAGAATACTATCTAATCTACTGAATCATATGAGTGAGGGCTGATTTTTAATCGTCGGATAACTTTTGACTGGGGAATAAGTTTGGCACATTGACAGTTTCATGGGAAATAATGTAAAAATGACAAGTTTATTCTTCAGTTAAAAGATATGTAACAGTTGAAAAATTAACCCTTTTAAGTAAATTAGGAGAATAAAAAAACATGCTGTTTTCCAATGATCACTAATCCAGTTAAAACTAGCATGTACTGGATAGAACTGGTTTCTAACCGGTTCATAACTGGTTAAATCTGTATTATATCAAACTCACATTCTCCATAGGGGTTCTTCAGGGAATTCTACGGTGATGACATCTTCAGATTGAGGAGTGTTGAGCCGATGGTAGCACAGTTTCTGGTCGCGGTTCACTTCTGTCTCAGAGCCGTCCGTTTTGCCGGTTTGCTCTGGATATCGCTGAAATATAATATTTCAAAGATAAGTACCCTCGAAGTTTGAACATCTCACAAAGCGCACTTTAGTTCCAAACCAAGCAAAGTTACCGGTATGTGACAATATATTTTTTGGTACAACTCATTACTACAAATTCTGAATTGATTTGGATTAAAACTAAATCGTTAGTTTTGAAAGTTCAACTTTACCCTTACCCTAAGATTTAGTAAAAAAATCAATACATCAGTCAATGATGTCGCTCATAAAGATCTGATACTACGATGTCATACGGTAAATTAAATGAAGGTTTAGATGTTAGTTACCTTAGTATTAACTGTATTTTATTTATCAAAACGAAGATAATTTAAACGCAAAGCACGATCAATTATATTTATGTTAAGGTTATATGGAAATAACTGACTGGATGTCCTTTCTAATGCCCCTTAAAACCATGTGAATTAGGGTCAAAATACGTCGATGTCGTGCCGTAAACACAGTTTGCATATTTATCAGAATAGTTATTTTCTATTAAAGGATAAACAGTGAGTATATTTGCTATAAATAAACTATGTACTTGAAGGTGTATACTCACAGAGTAAAATAATCCTTTGTTATCTTTCGTCCATGACATTGAAGCGAATTTTACTTTCTCTAAAACTTCTGGGTAGTCTTTACCTGAAATCAATAAAAATTTGATTAATTTTCTTCATCTTTCATTGTGGCATAATATTACTGGTGTGTCCAGACATAATGACTCGCCATTGGCTTCTGACATGGACTGCTAATCGTACTTTACGTATAGAAGCATTACCTACAAATATTTGTTTTATTCCTGCCTGGGAATTGAACCTTGGGACCAAGAGCGTCCAACTTTGTCCATTAGTCCACGTAGGACATTGCAGAGTCATCCAAGGTGAAATTCTTTCACGTACATACGTAACAAGTAACAACACATAAAAATACGTGCGCAAGCGAGGAAAACATCCAGGACACGTAGTGTTTTCCGGTAGAGAACTACATCAGCGTCATTCGAAGACAGCATTGTTTTTGTTGTTTGTTACGATGTTGATTTGAATCGTCAACATAATGCTGCAAGTCGCAACATTGTTGGTCATATTTGCAAGGGATTCTATGACGTAGTGGGTCACAGAACTCACAGATAGATTCAATTTAGAAACTTATCTGTATGTACTATAGTCTTTTTCACGTAAGATGATCCGTATGACACTTCAAGGTTATCCATATTACGCATACTACATATGCAGAATATTTTTTCAAAAATATTTGTATTTTATTAGCAATATAATAAAAAAAATAACTACTTGTCTTGAAATATATATAGTAAAATCTGAGTCTATTGATTATATTTTAATTAAATACGATGTAAAAATATTTTTTATTTAATGTACGCAATGTGTGAAACGGAATAGATTTAGTGCTGGGGTATTTCTTGTATAATAAAATCGATTATTTCCGCGGTTCATTAATCGATTGCAGTGAATACTTAGTTATTAAAAACATCACAAAAATCAAATATATTTTTCGATTATTGACTTTAATAAACGCATTGAAAATAAACTAATAGTTTTTAATTTAAAGAAACAGAACCAGTACTTTTTAGGAATTTCTCTAAAAGTAGGTTTTACTAACTCTTCGAAAAAAATCGATAGATAAATCGCTATGGTTTAGTTATGTGACATCTCTAAATCTTTCAAACTCGAAACGTCATACGGATCATCTTAGGTGAAAAAGACTATAAAAGAGGTTGAGCATCTGGCTGTGTTGAAGAAAATCTAGCTATCTGCAGTCAAATCTATTGGTGAATAACTGAATAGCCCTTAGGAGAAAGTCTAGTCGTCTAAAATCGCTATCACACCTTTTCACATGGTCGCTAAACACATTGAAATCATCTGTATTCCTTTTAGCTTCTTAAAATTCCCACCTATTTTCTGCTGGCTATCTAGTTCTATCTTTGGTTCGTATCAAAAATTGTATTGTATGTAGGTATATATTATATTTTATATAATTATGTATATATTAATATATTTTTGTGTATTATTTGTATGTATTATTTTGGTTTAAATTTTATGCCTTTTGTTTACATTTATTTCTTTAGTGTCGACACCGCCTTCCCCTTCATATTTTTTTTTTAAGTAACTGTCCTCACCATAGGTTGTCTGGAAGAGATCTCTTCATAGCGATAAGACCGCCTAGTTGTACCTTGTGTGTTCCTTTTCTTTCTGTTCTTATCTTTGGTGTGCAATAAAGTGTATTTATTATTATTATTTTCGGTTTACACTTTTGTGTCTCAGCTCATGGCTGGTATCAGAGGAGAACACGGGCCTAAGCCAAGTGCAATCCCGATTCAATATTTTTACCTAATTTAAATTATTATGTTGCTGCGTTTGTGCTGGTGGTAGCTGTCTTAATTGGATTTCTCTAAAAGTAGGTTTTACTAACTCTTCGAAAAAAATCGATAGATAAATCGCTATGGTTTAGTTATGTGACATCTCTAAATCTTTCAAACTCGAAACGTCATACGGATCATCTTAGGTGAAAAAGACTATAAAAGAGGTTGAGCATCTGGCTGTGTTGAAGAAAATCTAGCTATCTGCAGTCAAATCTATTGGTGAATAACTGAATAGCCCTTAGGAGAAAGTCTAGTCGTCTAAAATCGCTATCACACCTTTTCACATGGTCGCTAAACACATTGAAATCATCTGTATTCCTTTTAGCTTCTTAAAATTCCCACCTATTTTCTGCTGGCTATCTAGTTCTATCTTTGGTTCGTATCAAAAATTGTATTGTATGTAGGTATATATTATATTTTATATAATTATGTATATATTAATATATTTTTGTGTATTATTTGTATGTATTATTTTGGTTTAAATTTTATGCCTTTTGTTTACATTTATTTCTTTAGTGTCGACACCGCCTTCCCCTTCATATTTTTCTTTTAAGTAACTGTCCTCACCATAGGTTGTCTGGAAGAGATCTCTTCATAGCGATAAGACCGCCTAGTTGTACCTTGTGTGTTCCTTTTCTTTCTGTTCTTATCTTTGGTGTGCAATAAAGTGTATTTATTATTATTATTTTCGGTTTACACTTTTGTGTCTCAGCTCATGGCTGGTATCAGAGGAGAACACGGGCCTAAGCCAAGTGCAATCCCGATTCAATATTTTTACCTAATTTAAATTATTATGTTGCTGCGTTTGTGCTGGTGGTAGCTGTCTTAATTGGATTATTATTATTGAAAACTCCTACTTGTGGCAACATCTTTAAGGTGTATAGTGCAATTGGAGCCACTGGCGCTTAACTTGTATAAGCGAAAGTAGCACCATTTGTGGACCGGCTGCCTGAGCCCTAACACCCCGTCTTCCATTAGATTTCCATTGCTTATAATCTACACTCTACAGCACATTGAGAATTCGTACCTGTGGCAACGTCTTTAAGGTGTATAGTGATCCAGTCGGAGCCACTGGCGGAGAGCCCGTAAGCGAAAGTGGCGCCATCTTCCGTGAACCGGCTACCCGAGAGCGCTATCGTGCCGTCCTCGGATAAGGTGTTGGGATCGAGAAACACTCGCGGCTCGCCGTCCAAGCTGTCTTGTACGTACAGGACACTGCAAAAAGAGTAGAAATAGAGAATTGGACATACTAGTGGATAAGCCTAGGCGCAAATCATCGACTTTTAGTTGGCCGATAGTTGGGTCGGGCTGTTAATCAGTATGGACAATGGACATGTATCAAAGTGCGTACATTACACCGATTTGGTATCTGCCGATTCAATCGGGCCCAACTATCGGGTGACTAAAAGTCTGTGGTCTATGCCTAGTCTAAATTTTGGGGTTGCTACACACAATAATAATTAATCGGATAGCCGGACATTACAATGTAATTTAGATGAATGTAAGGGAAAAACTATACTATTTATATCCCAACAAGAGCTTCACGCTTCAGTCGGTGCAATGCTATCGCTTCTTCAAGTTAGCCTTCGAGTAACGAGAATACCGGCATGCTAATACCCCTTACTAATAAAGGATACACGCGCGTTGAACAAATGTTTAAAGGGAAGTTTAGTATAGAAAGAAATGTTACTTTAAACTACTGTTCAACGCATGTGTAACTTTTTATTAGTAGGGAGATATGTTTTGCAAACGTTACGGAACACGTCACACGACAACTACGTGGTATGTAAGGGGTACTCGTAAGTGTACTCCATCTCAACAAGCTTTGTTATTATCAGCCATCTATAAATAAATACTCTCTCCGGCCAATAAGTACTGTACCAGCCGGCTATCATTGGACGCAACGAAGTGAAAGTCAAACATTGGCTTTGGAATCAAACGTTGGCGTTACAGTTACTAAAAGCGTAATATCTCGACCAACATTGGCCACGAGTTTGCGCTGCGGGAGCCAGTACCGATTACGTAGATAATGCCTGCACACTGATACAAATTGATAGTTACGTGACATACAACTTTAATTAACCGCACGGGTCCAATAAACATTTATTACGTTCAAAATGCACTGTTTAGCACGTGTGGCCGTACCGGTTTTGCATTATTCCGTGATTATGCATACTACGTTTGTTAGCTGGAACAACGCCATAGTGTTTACTAGAAAAACTTAAATGAATTCCCAGTATGGCGTTTAATATATTTTAATTTTTCTCAAACATATTATAGATAACTTTAAAGTCTTTAAAAAGTTACTCCAGTATTTCGGCCCATAACTTTATGTTTTGGAACTTTTGCAAGATTGTCAAAGTCTTTTGGTGAGGATTACTTCTTTTTAGGGTTCCGTACCTCAAAAGGAAAAAACGGAACCCTTATAGGATCACTTTGTTGTCCGTCTGTCCGTCCGTCTGTCAAGACCCTTTTTCTCAGGAACGCGTGGAGGTATGAAGCTGAAATTTATATCAATTACTCAGGTCTACTGTCCCTTGAAGCTGTGAAAAAATCAAACTTCTAAGCCAACGCAATCAAAAGATACAGCCGTTTATGCCGCAAATTTTCGACACTTGCAAGGGAATCAAAACCTACACAGGGTGCTTCCCGTGAACTCAGAATCTTAAAATTTGGTACGAAGCAACGTCTTATAGCATAGATAAAGGAAAAATTACGAAAACCATACATTTTTAGTTACATCACATAATATATATTTTTTTAAATAATTTTAAACTTACTACCCATTTCCTCATAAACGCGTAGAGGTATTAAATTGAAATTCATACCAAATACTCAGGTCTATAATACCTTTAAGCTGTAACAAAATCAAACTTCTATGTCAACGCAATCAAAAGAAACAGCAATTTAAGCTGCATATTTTGAAACTCGCAAGTACTCGCAAGGGAATCAAAACCTAAAGGGTACTTCCAGTCGACCTAGAATCTTGAAATTTGGCATGAAGCAACGTTTTATAGCACACATAAAGGACTTTGTAAACCTTGCAGGTTTGTACGGAACCCTCGGTGCGCGAGTCCGACTCGCACTTGGCCGGTTTTTTTATTGTGAGTTGATCTTGAGTTTCGGATGGGAAGATTTAAAAATCAATATTCTGTAATGTAAATGCCACTTAGAAAAGTAGCAGAAAGAAAGCGACAGAATAGTTCTCGAGTGGCGACAACGGGCCGGAAGACATAGTATAGGCAGGTCTCCTTATCTCCTACTAGGTGTGCCGACGATCTGATGAAGGTCGCGGGAAGTACCTAGATGCGGGCAGCGAAGGACCGGTCGTTATGGAAATCCTTGAGGGAGACCTTTCTCCAGCAGTAGACGTCATATGACTGTAACGAATGCTGCAATGTAATACCACTTACTTCTGATTCTGAAGTCCAGTGTTCTTGAAGAAGAAGTACCGGTCACCACGGCGGAAGGGACACGAGTACTTGGGGTAGTTCCACAGTTCGGTTAGCCTCTCGTTGATGTCCGCCTTGACGGGACACGCGTCTAGGTACGGCCGCGTGATTTTGTTCTCAGCGTCTATAAACTCTTTGGTCTCGTTGGAGTCTGGGTCTTCCAGCCAGCGGTATGGGTCTTTTATCTGTGGGTTTTATGTCACTTTAATACATAGAAAAAAAAAGAAGAAAAAGCAAGACGACACTCTTTAAACATTTTATGTGGTTAATTAATTGGCAGTTAGAATACGTGCGTATTCCAAAACGATGCTCAGCTCAAAAGCCTCAATCTGTGCAATAATTAATCGAGAAGAAACGTGACATGTATGAAACTAATTTTGTAAACATACAATAAATAAACCTAAATCCAACAATTGCTATAATTGAATTATTTATACATAGTTTTTACATTATCAACCATTGTAATCGATCGCAGTAGTTTTTGTATGACATCGATGTTATTTAATTTAATGCACCAATAAACTTACATAATAAGAAATCAAGAATGAGGAAAGGAGGTCAATGTCGCAAAACGACAACTTAACAGTATTTTTATAATAAAAAAATTAATGCAAATGAGTACAAGGTTCAATCAACCTGTGTCAATGACCGGTATGTGCATAATAAATGAGCTATCAAAATAATAACTAGTTTAGAATATTAACACAATAGAATAACAGGTTTCTATACTAATCAAAATTATCCTCACGTTGGACGAAAGTCCAAAGTTCTGTAGGGACATGTTATTTTGAACTACTGTTAACCTGCTTGTAATTTTACCAGCAAGAGGGTAAAGTAAAGGTTTCAATATCCGAATCTTATGACGAAGGCACACTGAGTGATTGCGCGCTTTATGACGTAGGTACTCCTAATGATATACACTATTGCAGGGGTGGCCAACTTGATTAGACATAAGATCTACTGTTTACTAACGAGACCCTGGGCGATCTAACACTTACATACTTCTTGAAATCTTAAATGGAACAGCATAGATCGACCAGTCGATCGCGATCGACCGGTTTGCCACCCCTGCACTATTGTAAAAGAGATATTTTTTGAGGATTGAAACTTATTACTCCTTTCCGCAAAAACTACAGGACAGATTTTGATGAAACTTACACAAAAATAACACGTAGACTATATTTTTTTCTTGAGCTACTTATTATCGTAGTCTACAGTCACTAAATCGCGTGCAGCTAGGTAGTACTTAACTAACCAATTCATGGTTCGTTATTATTTTAACGGTGGTTTATCAACTCATTTAGTTTAATAATAATTAACATTGTTTTAGGTAGGTTGATAGAGTAGCAGAAAAAGTTAGTATTATCCTTTAAACAAAAAGCCCAACATAATGCAAAGAAGTATAAAGGTGAGCGACAAAACATTACACGCTATAAATTTTGTAACTGAACTTTGGAACCAAAAAGGAGAAGAAAACATTTTTTGTTACATCTCGCTCGATTAGTTATTGTTTATTATAAAATGGTTCTGTAATCCAGAGTTCAGCTTTAAACCTTTTATGACTCAGCGCGTAAGTTTTGGGAGAATGTAGAATTTCATACAAGTTATTTAACGTGGTATGTAAAATTAATACAATTTGATTACAGTTAAAATAAATAATAGCCTATTCATTGGCAGATCACACATACAATGACCCTAAATATGCAAGTACCGTAAGTAAGTTAGCAAATTAGTATGGAAATCACGCATACCTTTACGAGCAAGCGTATACCTACGCGATCAATATTGATAATTTCATTGAAAATGTGAAAACCACGGAACAAAACATTCGATTTAAGTTTTATGCAAGTTATTTGAGTTGTGTTTTAGTGAATTGGATCGATATTTTAATGGGAAAACACTAAATGCATATTCACTGCTTATGTTTAAATAAAACAAAACAGTAGAACAAGGGCCGTGTCTCTTAAAAACTAGCTATAACAACAATAATAACAACGTAAAAATTAAACAATCATCATGATACACTGAAAATTATTTTATCAATCGTATTGACCTTTCAACAACAAGATGATAGATAATGATCTATCTTGCGATTAGCGAGATCTAATTAATTAACGAAATTAAACGTCGCTATTTTGTCCCTACTACTTGTTATAAGATCTGGCTGAAGTCTCGTGGCGAGGTACTAGACTCCATAGTAATAGTCGTCGATGACCGTCTCAGCTCAGCACGCTTCTGGGTATGATCTATCTTGCGATTAGCGAGATCTAATTAATTAACGCAATTAGTCGTTAATGGTCCCTTGTTATAAGTTCTACAGTAGCGTAGCAAGTATACCTTGACTCCATGGTAGTCGTCGACGACCGTCTCATCTCTGCGCGCTTCTGGGTAAACGAAGCTCATATTCCTGGGTGCGGACGACGTCGATGCGCAGGCGCACTGCAACAACGCACACATTGTAACACACGCATAGTACGCACGCATGGCGACCGCGCACGCAACCACACTGAAACAAACTGGCGGCCGCGCGCGCTTTAACCGCTTATATCGATATCAACCGTGGTGAGACATGAACAATCCTTCTGCTGAGCACACCACCTGGTGCATGCCGAATCAACGGACATTATTTTTCACTTTCAGCACCATCGGAATTCACTGACAGTGACAACTTTTTATCTTTTTTCAGCGTCTATTCACGACAGAATTGTCACTTTCGATTGCAAAAAGAAGAATTTGCTTTGAAAGTATGTAGGTACAGTCTGCATTAGAAACTAGAGATTCACTAAATGCTGTTGCTAGTGTGAAGTCTGATGAAGGGGTTCAAAGGACCAGATTATGACATTCTCAAGTATGCAGTATTGTAGAATCTCGCAAATACATAGGCTGTTAAACACATCACCACTTCTTTGCGTCGCACAGTCGGGTAAAAAGCAGATAAAAGGGAAGAACTACGACTACTACGAGTGACTACCACTAGAAATAAACACGTGAATGGGTAAGCTGTACAGTATAAATTATACAATAAACTGCAAGTGAAAACAGATAAGGATCTTGTACACTTTAGCCACATACTGGAGCCCTTCAAGTATGATAAAAGACAAAGGCGATAATTAGAAGATTTATTTTCAAAATTTCAAATGATTTTAAAGCAAATTTCCATTATGATAATTATGATACATGTAGATTGTAGGTACCACATAACAAAATGCATTAAACTCTATTTTTTGATGCATTGCAGATGTCTTAATGACAAATGCAATAACACCTGTGTCATTGACAGACCAATACATAAAGATAATAACTGTTACACATACATACATAAAAGGATTCTTCATTATGATTGCTTCTACTCATGTAACAATATTTCAATAATACAATGTGGGCTTCTAATTAAATATGTAATTATTTTTTCTCTACTATACATTTTCACTATCTATTGCAAATTGCCATATTGGACTTTTTTGGTGAATAAAATCATGTTTTTTCTGTAATGTTTATTGTTTTTTGAAATTACAATATCAAAACATTCTTAAGTTTAATTTTTATTTTAAACAACTTAGGTTCTTTTATCTTATTACTTATAAAGTATAGATTTTGCACATTATTAAAAGTTATTATGCCCTTTGAAGTCATTAGAAAAAAATCAAACAATTAATAATAATCTGCCTTTGTATGAAATAAATCAACTGTTTTTCTTAACTTTACCTAACCAGAGACAAAATTGTGGTTAGCTGTGTAAGTAAAGTGGCTATTATTGACTATAAAATGTCATTACCTGTTACCTGAGCTGACTGTACCTACTATTCTACATAATCAGTATTATTTAGGAACAACGTAAATTTTATTTATAGAAAATCAATCATTTTTAGACACTGGTGCTTGTTTTGGATTACATTTACCTACCTACTTGGAATAAATTAATGTTCAGCAGTGAGAATTCTAATAAAATTGGAGAAGAATAACTAAACACACTGGCAATGGACACAAATGGCAAAACAAGGGTAAAGTAAACAGATAATGTGTCTGATGTTATGGTACTCGGNGTACTCAGCTAACTTTTAAAAGGTGCCACTTGAATCTCAATGATGTATTGTTCTTTTGTGCACAATAGGCCAATAAATGATTACCTGCAAACTGTTTGATATTGCAGTCAGGCTTAACAGCTATTAGAATCAACACTTACTACAAGAACTATGCTTTATAGGAGTTGCAAGAACTTTCTAAGGCACTACACTGGCAACAATTTTGTAGGACAAAGTTGTACTTAGTAGTGGTACGTACGTACATTTACGCACAAGGATACTTAGCTAACAAATAGAAAGCAGGCTATGTAACCCAACCTGTTTATAAGTACTTACATACTTAGATTATTAATCTAAGCTTACATACACTTTCAACTGCTACTACTATCTATTACACTGTTCAACTATTTTTTAAACAATAGTTCAAATTAGAATCTTGTTGGAACCAATGATCAATCAACTTTAATAGATGTTCAAGGCTCACACGACTTTTAATTCAATAAATAGTGGGTAACAACAATCTGTCAGAAGGTTATCAAGAAACTGATTTGAAGACATTCAGAGAGTTTAAATTCAACGTTTAGATAGCGAACACTCGCAAACAAAACTGTGCAATAAATCAACCACGAATGCTCTCTGAAGATTCAAATATTGATAAGCAGGGCAACTGTGCAAAATTGCACTTTGCATCCAAATAACCCACACTGTATAAAAACTTACCAAAAAATTGTTGAATTGATTAAAACCAGCTGCACGATTAACGTAGGTAAATAATTTGCGATGCTTTATCGTATTTACATTCGAATTTGCTGCAATACGGCAGTGATTAGCAAAAAAGCGACGCACCGCCATGTAATTTGACATTTCTCAAAAGTGTTGCCACGTACCAAATAAAGTCACTATTTGAGTAAATTTTAGCAGATAACACGCCCACTTATTCTCTACTTTCACTTTTCAAAATTCATTAATTTTAATTTACATACAGGTTAATTATCCAATACGTATCGACTAGTAAAAATGATAACAGTACTTTTAACCGATTACAAAAAGCATTATTGTAAAAATAAAACAATTGTGTAAAAACAGAATATAGATATTTATCAATTGCATTTATTTGTATTACATACTTTTATTATTACTCACAATTATTGTAACTTTTAAAACACTTCATTGAAAGGTAACTTTTACCAATTTGTCTTTTTGATGGTTAATTTTTGATTTTGTAGAATGGTATTACAGTTACGTTCCGATTTCTGCAAAGTGTGTTTTTAAACTAGGAGGATTTTTATTTTTTTTAGTATGGAAACCACAGAGTATAATCACCCTTTTGGCGGCAAAGTAAAACATCATGTCTCATTGTCTGTTTCACAGATTAGAGAGTGGTCTGTTTGCGTCGGTTTGCGCCCTGACAGGGTTTTATAAAACTTCAAAAACTTTGTTTAACCAAAAATAATAATGTAATAAATAAATAACGGCGCAATAAACATGAATGCAAGATGTTTGTAATTTGCAACATGATTGCTAAGTATAATTTCCGCATTCGTGTTTCGACTGATCTTCCAGTTTCCTCTCTCCTTGAGATTGACAATTATCATAATCAATAGATGGATTTTATTGAGATCGAGAAATAAAACAACGGAATAGGTAAGTGTCGTTTATTTACGATTAATGGTCAGAGCGCGTCCTACGAGCAACGAAACCCGCCGTCCGTTCGTAAGGCACTAGTCGAAAAACGGACGCACTAGCACTCAAAACTACGACGATCAATGAAAACTCTCGGACAAAATTAACATCAAATCTATCCACGAATTGCCCAACTAGAGATCATAAAATGACAAAATAATAGTACGAATTTATAGTAGGGTAAAGGGTATAGTTAGGACATTAATTTTGGTCTTCTAAGAACACTACAAAAATAGAATCCTATTTTCTATACTGATTACCAACAAAGTATGTATTTTACTCGAGTTTAAAGCAGTCAATACATTACATTTTGGCATTACTCCGATATAAAACATTTGAAGATCGTCAAAGACACAACGTCAAATAAAAACAAAACTATAAAAACGCAAAATTAAGATTAGGTTAACAATAAACAAAATACAGTCGATTCAATTAATAATAATAGCTCAAGAATACTTGGTTTTTCGAAAAACAGAAACAAAATTTGTTTGGGTATGAAATAAAAATTCGTCACTCTCTATTGCTCAATTACAATAACCTTCTCCTTTTTTTAAGTCGGTTAAAATTATAATGTTACTACTGCTTTTCACTCAAGTAATTATCATAATATTCATTAGTTTTAATAATTTGATTGAACCCAATATAGATATGTAAGAATTTACTTCATGATATTTACAATGGTTAAAACTATACAAAAAAATAAGAATTTGGTTCTTTTAGGAATCGCTAGATTATTATAAAAATTATGACGTATTAGCATTATTCATAAGAGATTTTTTGATGTATTGTCATAAATACTGATTTATCTGCATTTAAGTCATAAGAGTCAGAAAAGAATAACAAAGTAAAATTTTATTTCGATAATATTTTCATTACAGGATAACGAATCGATATAAAATTTCACGTTACATTCCCTTTAGAATTTATCTTATAGGTATTTTGAGATTAGTTAATAAGAATAGATTTATCACATTTTATACATTAAAATTGTTTAGTTAGGAAATATTGTATATACTGGATGAACAATCCGCACTTTTTGAACGAAGATCAATCAATATTTGTAATAATTTTTTAGTTAATTTTTTTTAATCCATCTTATATTAATAGCATAAAAAGTAACCAAGTAAACGAATATTACACGTATGACCGTGTAATTGTGTTTCGATCAACGTCCAAAACGTACAGTACGTACAGAAACAGAAGCTGACGCAAATTACAATGCATAGCCAGAGAAAACTTCAATATTTTACATAGTCACATCTTGTTCCCAAGAGTATCTCTCATTAATATGTTGTCTATTCATTTTTGAATAATCTTTGTTGATTTGGATAAGTAGGTATTTATGAATTCAAATCCAAAGTTACACACATTTTATACCACGAGATTTAAGATTCATACGCTCAAACAGTACAGGCTCGGAATGTAATCAACACGCCATTAAATGTACTACATATTAAGACAAAATAGCAAGCTTTAGACAATTATTTGTATGTTTAAAACAATGTAACTAGCCTTAAAACAAACTTTAACTTGTGGTTTCAGGCGAAAATTGCAGTACGAAAATACTTAATACTAACGAGACACGACACTTCACATCACATTGGTGTGCAAAATCTTATAAAAGCACGTGACAAAGTAAATATTGCAATATAAAAATACGTGTTTATTAATTATGTAATCAATTCAATTAATGCCATTCGTATAATTTAAAATGTCTACACATGCTTATGGAACTATTATAAAATGGCAATACTTAAATACGATAATTTATATTTAAAAAACTTTGATACTGACTTAACATTGTGTGCCACCCATATAAACACTACAGACCTACATATAAAAACTACTTCACGCGTTCAAAAGACTTGTTAATTTACCTTCTATGCAGTTCTTCTAATTTTGGTCAATTATTTAATACACATGTAAGAATGTTAATTTAATAATGAATAATAATTAAGTTCAAAAGGAATGGTTTTATACAAAAATAATACTGTTACTTAGCCAAAACAGCTACCAATAATCGAAAAAATATGTAAGTACCCTTATTTTTCATAATATTAAATAAACTATAAGCTTATTATTTAATTCTAAAGGAACATTCAGCTACGTCTATAAGTGCAATTTGGCAAGTGATTTTTATCTTTAAATGTGAATTTTGCTTCCTTAACTAGATACCATATTGAATTTCAAAATGAAAATAAGCTTATTTAACCTACACCATCATAAATGTTTTTGTATAATAAAAATAAGAGTGATATTGAATATAGTCCGGTCGCCGAGCACGTAGAATTTCGTCCAATGACCCCAAGCTACCCATCCTTATCGCTCGCGTGTAATTATATTGCTGTCGCGATTGTGCGACGGGCGGCCGCAGTGAGTGTGCGAGCGCGACAGCAACATAATTTCATTGGACGAAATTCTACGTGCTCGGAGACCGAGCTTTAATTTATACATACAAAGCGTTGTAATAACTATATTAGATCAGTACTTATCAAACATTGAGATTTATAGAGTTTCGCTATAGCTTAAACTAATTTTAGCTCGTTTTCAGAGTCGCTTAAACTTCGACACAAACTCAAGACTAGATTTAAGCTTGCGATGAATAAGAACCAATTTATGCTAGACTCGAGAATTTAATCAATATCTGATACTGTTATCTACAACAATAAGTAGGAAACAAATACGACTCCATTGATTCGGAAACGTGGGATAGCGTTTCCGAATTGTCTATAGGTTTTATGTAGCAGCTTTTTAAAATAATTGCATAACTCTTTTTATTCATAGAAATGAAAAATAGACAGATGATGAACAGAAACATATAGGCGGATACGCAATGAGTGAAACATTGAAAACACAATAACTGTCTCACTTACTCTTTGGTATACAAGTTTCAAAACCAAAACTTAAAAAATATAATTTTTTGAGATTTAATATTTTGTTGTCATAAGAGAAATCACAAACCAAAATAAACCTTTTTCACATTGGCAAAAATGACAGACAGAATCTTATCTTATACCCCAGCGCCACCTGTTTCAGCATTCTCTTTCATACCTCCTGCTGTCTCGCTATAGCGCTCACGAGAAGCTGTCCTGCTCGCACTCGTCCCAGCTGTCACACTCGTAGTGGTCGCAGTCATAGTCGATGTCACACGCTGCATGTCCCGTCGCGTCTGAGCTGATGTCTGTCAACGCGGCATCTGACACCGGCTTTGAGGATATGTCCAAGATCTGTGAAGGTAATATACATTTTCATTTGTTTAGTTTGAAATCGTGTTAGATGACAAAAAAAAAAAAACAAAATAGTAGATTGATTCAAAATAGTTTATGGAAGTGATGCTTTTAAATTCGAATCAAAAATTTTTTTTATGATAACTTAAAATGTTTATTTAACTAAAAATAATTTAATTTCTTTCAGGCAAATTACATTTACCTACATTTCATCTTATCAGAAAACATCTTAAACCGCGCTTTCATTGTTTAAACTTCTTTATTCCAATACAGATACACTACACATTTAGCCTAGGCGCAGACAACCGGTTTTTAGTTGGCCGATAGTTTAGTCGGACAGTTAATCAGTATGGGCATGTATGGAAGTGCGCACATTACACCGATTTGGTATCGGATCGGCCGCTTCTTCATACAAAATAAAATCGGGCGTAACTATCGGCCAACTAAAAGTCGGTGGTCTGCGACTAGGCTTAATAAGACAGCACTCACATCTGCAGAAGACCTCAGACTGTAGTTATCCGACTGCGCGTCTCTGTCAGCAGTGGACAACGCGTGGAGCGCCATCGAGTTTCGTTTGGGCTCGTCCCTGGACAAGTTCTTACCGTCTGATCTGACTACCACCTCAGACGGGTTTGAACGTTCTGGAAGAAGAAAATAGTTAAATGAAGATAGACAAAATTATTTTCCAATGGAGAAGATGACATACCTGCCCCGGAACATATGCAACGCAAAATTAAGTTTAGAAGAAATTATTAATGTAAATAGATGTTGCGACTTGCAGTGGCTTGATAGAATAAATTGATCATAAGGAGGATCAATTTTAGAGTTGTAAAAGAATACACATTCATGCACATATTTTTGTGGGGTCGTAGAAACGTTTACCTTTCGGAGGGTCGGCGAGTGAGACGGGAGAACCACTTCTCGGTGAACCTAGACTGCCGCTGTAATACATTTCTGGGTTTGCTTCATGGCGATCTGCAAAGACGGTTTACGGTCAGTGGTATTAGGGTGATTGCTATAGTAATTGGCCTGTACATAGCTATTGGCCACCTTGGCTAAAATAAAAATAAACAAGCATATGTACGTTATTAAGAGTGGAAAAGAGACACAAATACTTTATCTGAGCAATACGCTGTCCAATGTAGTATGTCAGAGTAAGAACAGATGGCACTCTAAACAGCAGAAGCTTTCTTTCGACAACGAGTCGTCCGAGTAGCCGCATGCTTGTCAAAATTTTAAGGTAAATATTTATGAATATTGTTCGTAATTTAATTGTTTTTGCTTGTTATAGTAATTTTACTGAAAAATAGACTTTTAGTATGCTCTGAATGTCACCGTGTCTTTCATAAATCTTGTGCAACAGCATATTACTGAAGAAGAAGGAGACAGTTATCTTTGTCACAATTGTTACAATGTTACTGAATGTACTGACGATGATGAGATAGATAAAGAAATCGATAAGAGTGATACTGATGACGAATTCTTAGCTAATCTTAAGGAAAGACAAAATGAGTTAGGATTACAAAGTGTGAAGTTTCAGTGATTTTTATGGGTTTTTTTCGGTGGCTAATAACTGTACTTCTAGGAGCCAATTACTGTGTTTTTGGGGCCAATAGCTAAATTTAATGTGATCTCTGATATTTTTAAAATTATTATTGTAATTCTTATCGTATAACACCAAATAGGTACTAGCTTAAATAGCAGCAATATTGTTTTCTCATAATAAATTATAAAAAGTAAACAAAAGTCGAGTTTTTGTTACATTTTACACAAGTTAACTTACACAACGCTCTTAAAGGGCCAATAACTGTAGCAATCACCTTACTTGTCATCTAACGTGAAGTTTTTAACAAATGACGTTACGTCACGTCGATGTTAAGAGCACACTGAGACGGTAAGCTGTTTGGTAATAGCAAGAAAAGTTATTTTATGCGCAATATCACAGCGGCCAGTGTCTTTTCTTAGCAACTCGAACAATACAAAACTTCCAGCGCCCGGAACGCTCAGCAGCTTTTTGGCATTATGGCTTTATGCCTTTGCACAAAGCCCAAATTAAAAAAAAAACTTTCAATCATGACGTTTCACATTCCCGCCAAGAGCTTCCCCTACATGGGTTCTGCGCTTTGGCCAGCTATCACTTACCGCAGTCCACAATCTCGTGGAATACGTAGTTGGCGATGGCGACGGGCTGGCGAATCCAGGCGTGCGCCATCAGCTGCTGCACCGTGCAGCGCGCCGCCGGTTCTTTGCACAGCATCCAGCGAAGTAACTGTTCTAGCTCTGCAAGATAATATTATGCATAGTGTTATGAAGTAGAACTATGATGATATATGAGGTCAGGATAAGGATCACTTCAAAATAATAAAAAAATGTACTGCAACGCGTCAAAACCCTAAAACTCGATTCACACATATCAGTGAAGCCACAGTTCCGTCACAGTGTCCGCTCAGTTCAGTATCAGTGCTACAGTGTTGCGTCAGTGAAATATTTTGAATATTTTAAAATGTCAGAGAGCTGTTTCAATATTCTTGTTCAGAAACTATGAAGTAAGTTATTTTGTTTTTGATGCCGCGGCGGCGTCCGGGATCCGACAAAAATATCATCGTCAACGAATACGTCCCTGATTGCCGGTGTCGGCACTGACACTGAGAGCACTGTGTCGTCACTGACACTGACAAGTGGGGATGCGTTCATAGAAACTGTATGAAAGAATATTTCGCACTGTGCCGGTACTGAGCCTGAACTGTGACTTCACTGATATGTGTAAATCGGCCTTAAATCCCCGTGTTCTTTAGCGCCGAGTTACGGTAACATAATGTCATAAAACAGCGCGAGCAGTATGCACCTTAGACAAACTCTTAAATAATTTGGTCAAGCTTATCGATCTGTATGCACCATAGGAATAAAAAAAAAAGAGATACAAGAGTTTAAACTTTGCGCGAAATAAGCGTGTGATCGGGCGAAATCAAATGTCGCTCACCATCTGACACGACCTGCGGGAACGCCAATGGACCCTGTATGGTGTCCTCAATGTCGGAGAACGGGTTAACGAAGAATGTCAGCACATAAAGCGTTATCCCCATTGACCACATCTCAAGCTCCGGCCCGGCGTATCTGGAAAGTTAAAAAGTAAATTAATACAGTAAAAAAATTGCCAGCAGAACTTTTTTTTTGGTGTTGTCTCTTTCACATTATTTTGAATTTGAATTAACAATATCCTTAAGCAAGTCAGACACACGTGGACATACTTTATTTATCTTCCATAATGGACCGAAAGGGCCAGACTAAACTTTCTTCATCAAGAAAAAGATAGACACAGTAAAGCGAATATTGTTTTATTGAGTTTCTTTGATTTAAAAACAGAACCGAGAAGTTTAGTATCAATATTAAAACTCACTTGTTACCAGCCAGTACTTCAGGGCTGCAATACTCTGTGGTGCCGTAGAAAGTAGAAAACAGCGTGTCCTTGCTCATAAACGTCGCCGATCCGAAGTCTATTAGCTTCACGTGGAATTTGTTGTCTATGATTATGTTCTCGTCCTTTATGTCACGGTGGAGGATATTTAGGGAGTGCAGGTACTCTACTGCTTGTACTATCTGCAAAAATAATAATGATTTGAAGTAAGTGAAACATTTATAACACACGGTTATGTTTGATTGCTCTATGAGAAACTTATTTAATTGAGCTCTATTGGGTGTCCCTGTTCCAGCTTTTAGGTAATATTCCAGGATTTAATATTTTTTTAGTCAGTGCTAATCACAAGTTGGTTATAGCACAGAATAATAATAAGTATGTACAACGTACAGAAGTTTTACTTCGCGAAGGTATTTAAAAAAATGTATGCTCAATGTCATTAACAATATGGTGTAATTTAGCCTGTCTCAAGAGTCAAGCACCATTTTGTTGACAAACGTCAGTGATCGGCACTGCGCCGAAGCTATAGGGCTGACTTCGGTAAAATGATGTGACGTGAGGTGCCAAACTGCAGAAAATGGCGGAGGAAATACATGATTTAGCATGAATTATCATGAATAATATTAACTACTTATTTGCCTCTCAGTGTCTTGAGGCAACTTAAAAAAGTACATTCTGTGTTTTTATTATTATTTAGGCAGTTAAATACTGCACAGTATTTAGTACACCATTTTCTTTATTTTCTTCCATCATACACAAGAATACGCGTGCGTGCTTGAGTCAATGTTCGCTCGTATGTGAGGCCTTGTCGAATAGTATCCTGTAGGTGGGCCATCGTGCGTGTTTTGTTTTCGATGTAAACTCGCGGAGATGAACAGGCCTGGTTGTAGTTAGTTTTTTAATGAACCCTTGCTGAAATCTCTTGTCCTTTTCTCACAATTGAGTAGACGACACTTTTGATTCGAGATTGCAAGTGGTCTAGAAGCAATCTTATGCCGTTGTAATAGATGCTAATTTGCAATAAAGTATCTCACTATACCTGTCTAAAGATGTAGCTGAGCAGAGGCTCGTCGAGGCGCGGGCGCCGCTCGATGAACTCGAATAAGTCCATACCCGCGCCGTGTTTCTCCATCACCATTTGGTAGTACTTGTCGTTCTCGAATACGTCTACCACGCTCACCTGCAAAGATACAATATCATTATTATTAACTTTGTCTGTGCGCTATAGCTTTAGGCTGTTTACCGCGGCGAGGCATAAAACGCAGCAGCGTAGTAAGGCCCCATACAAATCCAAGGGAAGCTAATGCAAGCCTGTTATAGCCTGACCAGGAACATAAAAACCCTCGCCATGTTGCGGAAAACTAATGGTACTAATTTCTTTTAATGGCAACAGTAACTGAAAACTTCATTGACATGTCACCTTGCATGTCAGTCTATCTGTCAAAGTGTAAACAAACTTTATTTTAAATGCGCGCAATTGATTTTGTGAATTAAATTGCTAAAATCTTTTTATAGTCGTGAAAGAAAACTGGTTCACAATGTGTTAAAGTATTTGTCGAAGAGAAATACTAAGGGTTCGGACAATATTTTCATTGAATATTTTTTCCGACAAGGGTGTCAAATTGACTGACATGTTTATCGTATAGTACAGTCCACTATGAAAATTAGCTGTTGTTTGTTTCAACTACCTATTTTAAAGGTTTTTGTCACTTTCTAAGTGTTGAATTTTATGGAATTGGGAAAGAAGTACCGAGTTTTAAGCGTTCATGAGCAGACATTGCAGTTGAATATTCAAGTTCTGAATTTGATTATTGATGAATAATAAAATAAATCCTACTAGCTCGATTGGTGTTTTAATTTAATTTATTTAAACCAGGTTACCTATAATAATATTTTTTCGTTAATTTATGAAAATATCAAATTAGCCCGTAATCCTGAATACTGATACATAAAGTTAGCCTATTAATTTAACACAGGTACGACTGTACTCAGTGTTGCACTATCAAATGCAATTGACGCGCCTCTATGCCAGGGTTTTTATGTTCCTGGTCAGGCTATACTATCGTAGCAGCATAAATAATGTGTGAACGCACTATTTGGGACGAGTTTAAGTGCACTGAAGAAGGCCTACATAATAATATAGACGAATAAATTTGAAGGTCAGTTGCGTTCACTCTCTTTCTTTAAACTCTTTAATTTGGCCATTTTGGTCTAACTAACTGGTTGAGTTTATAATAGCGGTTAAGTTATATATCCTTACTGGAAGTAGCAGTTTTGGGAACGAGAGGTGCTTTGGGTAGTTGGTTAGTCCCATTATACATTTGGAGGGCGGCCCGGGCGGAGCCGCCTTGTATGGCGTGTCGCGCCTAAATAATGCACCATTTACAGTATTTACAAAAGTTTATTTACAGAGCACGCACCCATACAAAAAGTAGAAAAGAAGGAGAAAGAAAATATTTACAACGCAAGGAATATAAAAGACGCACTATAAATTCAACAGCTTAGGTATGTACAGGAAAATTCGGACTGTCTCCTTGACGTTATATCAGCGCGGTTTCTTTTTCAGCGGCTGTTGAAATGGAATGAGGTTGAATATGAAATGCGTGCCGATGATGATGATGATCAATGGAGATGGCACCTACATACACTTACAATATTAGGATGCTTTAAAGTCATCAGCAAGCTCAGCTCCAAAGGCACGCGTCTCCCATCCGGCCCGTCGACCCAGAATTGGGCGCCCACCTTCTCTTTCAGGATAAACTTGGCTACCGTGAGTAGGCGGTCGGATCGACGGTACGCCATTTTGACGCAGCCGTATGCGCCTTTGCCTATAACAATAAATTGTATTAATGATTTTTTACTAAAAAGGCAATAGGGTAGATGACAAAATTTCAATTATTTGCCCCTCAGACAGATAAAATTAGAAAATATTAGACTCATATTTTTTTTTCTAATGAGGGCTATCGTTTTGGCGCTCACCAGTTAGCGCCACTGTAGAGTAAGGTCCTGTCACTTGCTAGTAGCGAAGACAGTGGCACCAACTGGTGAGCGCTAAAGTGGTAGGAGGACTATCGCATTTGCAATCATCAAGATGGCGCCACTGTAGAGTAAGGTGCTGTCAATCGCCAGGGGTGCCAACTGTTAAGTATAAAAACGATAGCCCTCATTAAATAATAACAGTGCTACATCGAGTTGAAATGGCGCGTTACGTCACGCTTGAGTATATTTTTTTACTCAAAAGTGACGTCACGCGACATTACAAGTCATACAGGGTGTCCACTGCAAATGTTCGAAAAAATTCCCTGACTTTTCCCTGACTTTCCCTGACAATTTTCTCAAAATTCCCTGACCAACTATGTATACGTGTCCCAAAATTCAAGGATAAGCCGACCCCACAGGATGGACATAGTCATGATTACTTTAGGAAAAATAAGGAAAAAAATCTATCTCAATTATTTTTTAACTTACACAATATATTATGAAATTCAACTAAAATTGACACCCCTTGTGATATTTTACATTACCACGACCACAATTTTTCAATTATTCCTGGTTTTCTGTTTATATCGGCAACTTAAGTAGTGCTGCTGTTCACCCCAACTCTTAAAACCCCCAGAATCCTTGCAGTTTTTACACAAAAGTTAATCAAAATATTTTANCCAGTTAATTCTGTAACCTATTACTGATATTTTGAAAGAGCTCGTGAAGCACTTTCAAGATCAGTAAGCAGTTTTTCGATATCTTGTGTAGTTTAGAAATAATCGAATGAGATCACTTATCGTTTCCACCCTGTAATAATAGCACTCACAGTGAACTGCTCACTAGTCTGCACTCAATAATCAAATCAATAAATAATTATAAAAAAAATATAAATAAACATAAGTTATAAGTTTCACTTTCACATCGACAATAGAAAATATATCATTTTACTGAAACAAAAAAGTACAACTATTAAAACAAAAAGGAGTAATCTAGTTATGACAAAAAAAAATCATAACAGAGTGATCTATCACTCTAATACTGAAAAAAAAAACTATATGAAAGTAATCTAATTATGAACAAAATTGTGTCATAATTTAGATCAATCCACTTCATTGGATAAAAAACTAAAAAGGAGTAATACAATTATGACTAAAAACAAAGTCATAATGTAGATCACTCCAAACCTGAAAAAAGAATGCTTCGATAGTCAAGATAAAAGGTCTTTCTAGAGCATAAATTAATTAAATCCCTCATTTTACAATCACTGGGAAATTACGGGAGACAAACAGTGTTTTGGTAGACAAACCTCAATGTTTCCCTGACTTTCCAGGTGACCCCTCTATTTCACTGACTTTCCCTGACTGCTATGAGCTTCCCTGACTTTTCCCTGACTTTCCCTGACTTTCCAGAATGTGGACACCCTGGTCAATATAATACTGTAATTATTCGATTATGAAAAAAATAAAAAAAATATGTCTCCAAATTTTTTTATTATTTGTCTGATGGACTAAATAGAATTTCGATATCATTACCCAGTCATCATCCCCATTATACAATGTGATTACAGATCGATACAAACTCATATTAAATTAATTGGAAAGACTAACGCTAAATTCTACGCTCATAACTAGTTTTAGCACCAACCATAGGTCATACCCATTCAAGATTCGATAAATGGAACACAAGGCGTGGTATTTATTAGCAACTGGTAATAAATACCACGCCTTGTGTTCCATTTATCGAATAATAACTATTTACCAGTGCAATAATAACAGCAAGAACGCGTTAGCATTTTTTTTACGAGGATTTTACACAATTCCATAGTGGTAAGTTTAATCCTTACGAATGCATTAATCTTTTCTTTATATTGCTTTTAACTTTTATCTCAAGGTTCTATAAAATTGTTACTAAGTATAATATTGTTACTAACACAATGTATGGATCATAATGGTCTGATAATAAACGTATTATTATTATTAATAATTACGATGGCAAACTTTCGCCAACATTATGTATTTAAGGGTACAATCTAATTTAAACTTTACGCAATTAAGAATAACTCACCAATCTGCTTGAGCGTGACGTAGTGTTTGCAATACTCGCCGGCCACTTGTTCTTCGCCACACTGCGACATCAGAGACATGGACGCCGGCCGGCTGCTTGCCGACTTGTTGCCCTGTTGGTGAATGCGTTAAGAATATAACAATAGAGATTTGTGAACACTTTGGCTTGTATTTTAAACGAAGCTAATAACAGATAACATAGAGTCAAGCCTGTAATTAGTAGGACCAACCATTTGCCTCATGTATCTATTGCAGGTTTGATTCTATGCTCGAGATTGAATCTAGACCTTCGGATTAGAATAGCAGCAAAAGTTCTAGTATGTTATTTGCAACTGTCAACTGTCAGACCTACGAATAGCTCGAGCGTCGCATTAGAATAGCTGAGAAGTTTTAGCATCTTATTCTGTCAACTGTCAGCTGAAATAACTTACAATTTCATTTGTTGGATATAGATAATAATATTTAGCAGATGAAGTTACCGTTAACGACGGATCTTTATTTGTAAGAAAAGATAGAGCTGCTGATACTAGAATTTTTTTGTCAAAAATATGTATTTTATTTGTTTTCCCGATCGGAAACAGTCACTTAATTCTCATACAAATATATACAATAAAATCTTTCAATGAACGCACGTATGTGGATATTATACTTTAAATTAGCACAAATAAGGTGTAAATTAGCACAATGTTCAAACCCAAATAGATCGGAAGCGATGACGTAACCGCGGAAACAAATTCGGAATGCACACTTGAAGTTCACTCATTATGTATTATTCAATAGTCAATGTTCAAGATAGTCTTTGGAAGTGATACTGAAAAATAGCTAACAGTGAATGAACAATAATAGCTTTGCCTGTTATTTTGAACTGTTTGATCAAACATGACGTGTTTGATGGTATTGCTCTAAATGGTGAGTAGCAGTTAATTTGGTCAATAAATAACCAAAGTGCTAGTAGTTTATTCAGTATTTATCTGCGAGATAATTGTTTGCGGAAAATTACGTATATTTGGTACAACTTACTTATGACTGGAGTTAAGAGGAAGCGAGACTTAAGATGTGACTTAAATGGACTCTATTTGGCAAGAAATCTAAAATGTGCAGCTGTGCAAAGTTAAGCGTCTCACAGACAGGATATCTGTGAGACGCTTGTTGTATTAGAATATTAAATCGTATAATCAAACGATTTATATTCTGACTATTTATTCGATTATCAGTTTGACAATCGAATATTATTTTTTTATCATAACAAATAAATCAAGGCCAAGTCTGTCAAACCGTTGAACTATCAAATAATGAGTTACTCATGCATGAGTATCCCAAGTACTGTACGAAGCGCACGCGGCTGCCAAGGCAAGCAGAGCCTTTGCTACAGAGGGCGAGGGTCACAGGTGACTCCTGTTGATCACGAGTGTCAGCGAGTTGTCGGCGGTGGAGACCATGCTGGAGGCGAGCTTGATATGTTATTCTATTTATACTACCAGCCAGCCACATGTAGCGCACGTGGCCGCTAGGGGCCTTGGGTGGCGGTCACGCGGGTACTCACGAGTATCAGCGAGTTGTCGGCGGTGGAGGCCACGCTGGAAGCAAGCGTGGTGTGGCGCGGCGCGTCTTCCAACTGCACTCCCAGCCACACGCAGCGCACGCGGCTGCCGTTGGCAAGTTGCATCGTCGACACCGTATATAGCACGTCTGAAGAGCAAATATGGGTCTTTTTAGACAGCAATAAGGTATACATACATTTATTCTTTTCTAGGTCAAGGGTAAGTACTTGGCTAGCATCAGGATACTAAGAAGCATCTGAAGAGATCACCTACTAAGGTCAAACAAATCCGTTGTGATTCTATTAACAAACATTCTGATGGTCTGTCGATTGTAATAATGAAATCGTGGTCAGTGCGTATGATAGTTTTCGAAGTCAATGTGGTCACGTGACTCACAGTAGACGTTTTATCTCGGCGGTACAATCTCGTTGAGCTGAATAGTCGCTGAGTAGAGAGATTGTGCAGTCCTATTCAGTTCTTTCTAAGGCAGAGAGGGTATATACAGGGTGGAAACGTTAAGTGATCTCACTCGATTATTTCTAAACTATACAAGATATCGAAAAACTGATTACTGATTCTGAAAGTGCTTTACGAGCTCTTTTAAACGATATCAGTAATAGGTTACAGAATTAACTGGATCTATCCGAAAATTCAATGTTTTCAGCCTCCTTACTAAATGTATGCCACTATGCCAGCCACACAATATTAGAAGTGTTAATTTTTTTATTTTAAATAATAAACACTTAAAATTAATTCGTGAATTGCATTCTTATTTAAAATTCTTCACGGAAAACATTGGTTTTAGGCTTTACTTGCTATAATATTATCAAGACATGAGTGCTATGGTTGTGGCAGTATTAAATGTATGGAAGCTGAAAACATTGAATTTTCGAATAGATCCAGTTTATTTTATAACTTATTATTGGTACCATTGGATAGAGCTCTTGAAGCACTTTCAGGATCAGTTACCAGTTTTTGGATATCTTGTATAGTTTTTAATATTATGAGATTTTACTAAATGTATGGAGGCTGGAAACATTGAATTTTCAGATAGATCCAATTTATTACGTAACCTATTATTGGTACCATTGGATAGAGCTCATGAAGCACTTTTAGGATCAGTAAGCAGTTTTTGGATATCTTGTATAGTTTAGAAATAATCGAGTGAGATCACTTATCGTTTCCACCCTGTATAATTTGTCTCTAACAAATAACGACATAAAGCTTTGTCTAAAGTTATCGTTCAGCTGAAGTTTGGATACTCACTAAGTTCAGTCCCATCTTTATGCAGCACCACGCCTCTATACGTGCCATCCCGGTGCTGGCACTCAGTAGTGCAGTCGCAGTGGTCAGTTTTACTCGCGCGCACGTGTTGCGGCGTCGAAGTGGTCACGTGACTGCGCAGGAGTCGTTTCGCCACGCACGGCGTTTCGGGCGCGTCATCTGTAGGGAATAAGATGGCTAGCTATTGTATTTTCTTTGATAAGACCAAAGGGGGATTTGAAATGTTCTTATATCGATGGAAGATAATGGCATCACGTCTCACTAAAATAATTTGATGGCGATCTAATGTAGGTGCTATAGAAGTGACAAGTAATAAAGAAAACAATTGTTTTGACAAACATCTTACAAACTAATATTATAGATTCTAGAAAGCGCTCCAGCTTATAATATCCAGCTCTTTTTTATGTTTATGAAGATATAAACGAAGTCATGGAAGTTCATTGGCAAGAGATCATAAATCACTTACCATCATATTTCTTCCTCGGCGCTGACTCGGTCTGCGTTTCCAAATCATTGTCATTGCTTAAGCTATCGATGCTTTCGTTGCCATTATGTTTCGGCAAATCTTCAATCTCACACCCTGGCGGTGGCATTTCGTTTATTGGCGTCAAAAAGTCCGCACTAGTCTCGTTAGAGTCACAGAAATCCAGCGAAAGACTGCTCTTGTCGTCTCTCACTTGCCCCGGCAAATTCGCCTTTAGCGACCTATACTTGCTGGAATCAAAAGACAGCCTTAAAGACGGGTCGTTCAGTCTAACTCGCGGCGCGTTTCCTGTGGGCGTCACTTCTTGGGAATGCTGTGACGTGTAGTAGATAGAGTCGGATTTCTCCGAAGGCTTGTTTGAAACCAGTTTTATGGCTGGATTGCTGTGTTCAGACCTTAGTATGTTTTCGGACCGCGATTTTGAGATGCTGCTGGGGCAGTAATTCTCGTCGTCGATTGATATTCCAGACATGCCTGAAAATTAAGTACAGTCACATAAGTATAATTACTTTCTTTTGAAAAATAGTTTTTATTGCAACTACATAAAAAAACATTGCATAAGGTACTGGACAAATGTGGCATTCGTTTAGTTCGTTATTCACTCGAACCTTATTTGATTGATTCAACTGTTTTTTTTCGTCTTAGAGTAGGCGCACACCGTTGATTTTTCGTCGGCCGATAGTTTAGTCGGGCAGTTAATCAGTATGGGCATGTATGGGAGTGCGCACACTACGCCGATTCGATTTGGCCGATTCTTCATACAATTTAAAATCGGGCACAACTATCGGCCAATTAAAAATCAACGGTGTGCGCCTACTCTTAAAGTTTGCGTCTTACCTGAAGTAACATCCGGCAGCGCCGATATATCGTTTCTCTGTTCCGTGGTGCTAATACTTGATACCATATCCTGAGTAGGTGTGGGCGTATGCGTGACCAAGCTACAGGACTTGTCCAGACAGAGGGCGCTGGAAGACTTCTCCCTGGTTGTAGAGAGGACAGAAGGCTGGACGTTGAGAGACATGCAGGCGGACTTCTGGCTGCCGTTGAATGCTCCGCAGGAATCCTCGTCAGTGTCTGACGCTGGGGAGATAATGTGAGGGAGTTTTTGAGACGTGACATACTTTTTTTTCAATAAATTTAATAAACAAATTTTGAAACGTGATGTACTGTTGAGCCATTTTCACTTAAAATAAGGTGGTGGAAAAAGAACGCAGAAAAAAAGAGTTCTTTGCCAGAATGTCAAAATAATGTAACATACATACAACAACCCAGTGCCAGTGTTCCGAATGTTTAGATTAGAGTTTACAATGAAATTCGATGAAATAATAACATACAGAATCATGATTTCCATTATAATTGTACAGTTCTTCATAGTTATTTATAAAGCTAATGTTGAACCTCCCACCAGGGTAAAATTAGATAGCAGAGAGCTTGTTTCAGACGAAACATAAATCATTAAATATCTTCATGAAATTCTCCACGATTGTATTTAATGTTATTACCTGATCCATTGTTGTCATTGTTGACTGGCGACAACGTCATCTGTCGCGCCCGATCTGGAACTTTGACCATGTCAGCCTCGCGGCAGAAGTGTTGGATGACGTCATCGATGTGGTGGCCCACCACTTCTGCGTGTGGTTTGCCGAAGGTGAGCATCGCGAAGTGGTGATTGCAAGCGGTTATTATGCCGCTTTCGTCGACTACTAGCAAGCCGCTGACGTTGTATGTGACCTGATGGAATAGATAGAATAATAGAATCGACAAATACTTCTATGCTTACTAATATGTGTCCGCTTATAGAAATTATAGTAGAGTCATGTCGCTTTTTCGCGTGGAAACGAAGGATCACACAGGGGTTCATAGATTTTAATTTAGTAAGTGTGTCAGTATTATACGGTGAACCGTTATTCAAATAGGGTAAAGTACATGACCAGGCGACACAAAATACAAACGTTTGTCTAACAATCGATTTTTGTGATTTTATGAATAGGTAGTCTCGGGAAACGCAGTAAACGACGCCTCTCTACTAATACGGTTGGCTGTGAATGGCCTTTGGCTAATGTGATGTGAAAAGGCACGTTAATCAACTATTTGAACACAACAATGGTCTCAAAATGATTTTTACTCACCCTAACAGTAACTTCAAGAATAGGTCTGTCTTTGTATGATTTTATTGATGACCACGGAGAGTTCTCGGCAATATCGGCTTTCGATATCCACAGACATAGCGGGAAAGTGCCTCCGTCTAATGTTCTTCCTGTAAACATTTATACAAAAACCTAAATTAATAACTTGCTACATAATTATAGATCGTTTCATCCACGAAGACTCGCCACACCAATTTTTGGTCGAGTGAAGCGCAGGGAGTTTGATCCGAGCGTCATTATTGTAGTGTGCGTGTGCACTCATGGATAAACTTAGCGTGTACCGATAACACTCAAACATTAGTGGAAGAATGGTGGGGCGCGACCTCGTGGATGAAACGATCTAAACTTCAGTACATATTTTCGGTTTGGTTTTTCACACACATCTGCAGATAAACAACAACACTACCATACTGGCTGTGGTTATTGGTGTTCTAAAGACTGATGGGGGCTGGCTATTAGTACGGTGAGCATACCTGGTGTCACAGTAAAGTCGATCACGTTATTTTTCTTGTCGTTTATGTTGGTATTAGGTCCTAGATAAAAATAAGCTGCAGTACCTACGAATTATTATATAAGATAGATGAAAGTAAGTTTATATTATTACCCGTCGCCTTCTGTTTTGATACACTCCTGGTCATCGGTGCATCAGCCGTAGGCAGCTGAATGGACGGCACCAGAGACGCTATGGGAAGACCAATCAACTTGTCTGTGGTATCCGCTTGGAACAACAGAGCGGCGTCTTCGCTCGAACATGACAGAATCACGCCCGTGTCGGCGTCTATCGTGAACTGGAACAAAACAAAAGAATTAGAATATTAAAAAAACTATTTTGGTAAATACTGTAACATTGTGTTAAATTTTGTAACTGAGGTTTCTTGTAATACTTTATGACCTGCTACAGGTTTCTGGCATAGCTCAATAGGACTTTTCAAGATACCAAGTAACAAAACTGAGAGTAATGAGGGCTATCGTTTTTATACTTAACAGTTGGCACCCCTGGCGATTGACAGGACCTTACTCTACAGTGGCGCCATCTTGATGAGTGCAAATGCGATAGTCCTCCTACCACTTTAGCGCTCACAAGTTGGTGCCACTGTCTTCGTTACTAGCAAGTGACAGGACCTTACTCTACAGTGACGCTAACTGGTGAGCGCTAAAACGATAGCCCTCATTGCAAAGTAACTAATCAATTTGTGTGTCCCACCTATGTACACACGGCCACACTGTTAACTATCCATTTCCGTTTTTGCTCTCGCTCTCATCAAATGGTGATTCTTTGATAGAACGAGATGACATGACTGGCAATGGGCAGTTAACACTGTTGCCGATAGTATGTACTTGTAAATAGGCAATTCCTTGAAAATAGACATCTTACGAAAATATTTATTATCTTGGCCTGTTTAAACTTTTATTTTCTGCCAGAAAAACTGATTTTCGCTTTGAGAAAGTTGTAGTCACACTTGAAACTGAGCCTTTCTGTTTAATGCGTCATTAGAACTAATGCATTAACCAAATACGCAGACGTAGGACTATAGGTAATCTAATCAAAATGTGTACTAACCAGTACATTTTTACAGCTGACGGGCTCGGCGACCACCAAGCAGGGGCCGTCGTTGTCCAGCTGTCTGATCCACAGCGAGACTTGCACTGTTCCGCCATCTTTTGACAGCAATTCCACAACCTGTGTAAAAAATAATTAACTTTTTTAAAAAATATAACCGACTTCAAATGCGTGAAGACAAAAAAAGAAACTAAAAATTAAAAAATTTTGATAATACCTATTCAACAAAAAAATAATCGTTCAAATTGGTTCATAATCGGCGGAGATATTGCGTACTTATAAAAAAGTTCGTCCCCAATTTTCCACCCTTGGGGGTTGTCATTTTTATTATTAAATTTAAATGGGACCACCCTTGAGGTATTACCTATATGCCGAAAAAAGATTTGTTCAAATCGGTTCATAATTGACGGAGTTATCGCGTAACAAACATAGAAAAAAAAACATATGGGTCGAATTGAGAACCTCCTCCTTTTTTTGAAGTCGGTTGAAAATATGAATTTATTACCCGTAAATCATTAATTTTTGAATTACATTCTTGAATCACAGCTATGCCAGATATCGCCTGATTACTAGATGCTGCTGGCTGAAAATAGGGTTTGTAAATTGGCTAAGTTTCGATTTCCTATTATATTTAACAAATACCTTTCCACTCAGCAATACAATAGTCCGGTCTTCAGATACGTCTCCATCTTCAGGCTCATGCAGACTGAAGATCTTGCAGCTCCGTTTGTGAAGGAGATCAGAAAACCTGAGACCGCATAACTCTCCGGAGGAATATCCCAGCAAGGAACATGCTTTGTTATTTACAATTAGAATCTGAAATCAAAAGTAAGTGATGAATTTGATATTGACAATTTAGTCTTATATGATAAAGCATATGAAACTTTTTTGAACTATCCACACACACCTGAATATAAAAACTGTCTGAAGGTTCTTTAAAGCACTATTAAACTAGAGATGTGTGTATAAAATAACACATTTTCTGAAAAAAAAAGGTAAACACTGAGCAGCATGATATAGGTGTACAAACCACACCTTATCCACATGTTATCATAGAATGATGAAAAGGTGTCTTACTTTAGAAGAGTTCGGTTCAATAGTGAAGACAGCCTTGCTTGGGTTGATGGCTTGCTGGATGCGGTCAGTTTGCGACTGTGCTGGGGAGCCAGTAANGCGGTTCACAGAATACATCTACTTACCAAGTTTCAACAGTATACTAGCTCTTATAGTTTCGGAAAAAAATTGCTGTGACATACAGACGGACAGACAGACAGACATGACGAATCTATAAGGGTTTCGTTTTTTGCCATTTGACTACGGAATCCTAAAAAGGCAATAATACAATGTGATTACAGATCGATACAACCTCATATTAAATTAATTGGAAAGACTAACGCTAAATTCTACGCTCATAACTAGTTTTAGCACCAACCATAGGTCATACCCATTCAAGCTTCGATAAATGGAACATAAGGCGTGGTATTTATTAGCAACTGGTAATAAATACCACGCCTTGTGTTCCATTTATCGAATAAATAACTATTTACCAGTGCAATAATAACAGCAAGAACGCGTTAGCATTTTTTTTACGAGGATTTTACACAATTCCATAGTGGTAAGTTTATTCATACGCATGAATTAATCTTTTCTTTTCATTGCTTTTAACTTTTATCTCAAGGTTCTAATTACGATAGCAAACTTTCGCCAACATTATGCATTTAAGGGTACATCCTAATTTAAACTTTACGCAATTAAGAATAACTCACCAATCTGCTTGAGCGTGACGTAGTGTTTGCAATACTCGCCGGCCACTTGTTCTTCGCCACACTGCGACATCAGAGACATGGACGCCGGCCGGCTGCTTGCCGACTTGTTGCCCTGTTGGTGAATGCGTTAAGAATATAACAATAGAGATTTGTGAACACTTTGGCTTGTATTTTAAACGAAGCTAATAACAGATAACATAGAGTCAAGCCTGTAATTAGTAGGACCAACCATTTGACTCGTGTATCTATTGCAGGCTTGAGTATAAACTCGAGCATAAGCCCGAGATTGGATCTAGAACTTCAGATTAGAATAGCTGCAAAAGTTCTAGATTTGCAACTGTCAACTGTCAGACCTACGAATAGCGTCGCATTAGAATATGTCTATGTCTGTTTTTATTTGTATAGAGAACAATAGCGTCTAGACAAACCTAAAGAGGATTTAGGACGCTATTTGGATCAAATATGTAATTGCTCAATAATGAATAATAAATAAAATAAAATAAATAAAATAAATAAATAGCTGAAAAAGTTCTAGCATCTTATTCTGTCAACACTGTCAGCTTAAAAATAACTTATAATTTCATTTGTTGGATATAGATATTTAGCAGATAAAGTTACCGTTAACGAGGGATCTTTATTTGTAAGAAAAGATAGAGCTGCTGAAACTGGGACATTTTTGTCAAAAATATGTATTTTATTTGTTTTCCTGATCGGAAACAGTCACTTCTCATACAAATATATACAATAAAATCTTTGAAGTTCATTCAAAATTCACGTATGTGGATATTATACTTTAAATTAGCACAAATAAGGTGTAAATTAGCACAATGTTCAAACCCAAATAGATCGGAAGCGATGACGTAACCGCGGAAACAAATTCGGAATGCACACTTGAAGTTCACTCATTATGTATTATTCAATAGCCAATGTTCAAGATAGTCTTTGGAAGTGATACTGAAAAATAGTCAATACTGAATGAACAATAGCTTTGCCTGTTTTATTTTGAACTGTTTGATCAAACATGACGTGTTTGATGATATTGCTCTAAATGGTGAGTAGCAGTTAATTTGGTCAATAAATAACCAAAGTGTTAGTAGTTTATTCAGTATTTATCTGCGAGATAATTGTTTGCGGAAAATTACGTATATTTGGTACAACTTACTTAAGACTGGAGTTACGAGGAAGCGAGATTTAAGAAAATTGACTCTATTTGGCAAGTACCTAATTTAAAATGTGCAGCTGTGCAAAGCTTAGCGTCACAGACATTGTTATATTAGAATATCAAATCGTATAATCAAACGATTTCTATCCTGTCTATTTATTCGATTGCCAGTTTGACAATTTTTTTGTGAAATCAATGACTTATGCCATCACTTGAACATTTATAAGACTGTGGAAATAAAATTGCTTCCTTATTTCGAGCGATATGCAACTTTTTTTAAAGGTGAAATATCAGTTATCATTTAGGCCTCATCTGTTTCATCATCATCATTTCAGCCATAGGACGTCCACTGCTGAACATAGGCCTCCCCCAATGATTTCCACAATGGCCGGTTGGTGGGGGCCTCGTCTGTTAAACCTTTGCAACTATCAAAAATAAGCTACTCAACAGTGTTCGGAATACTATATCAGAGTAAATACAAATGAGTAGGTCATCTTCATAGAAACGCCCGAGCGCGGTTTGTATGTGAGCGCGCCAATACGTATGCGGAGCGCACGCACACACTGACAAAATTTAGCGTGGATTAGCGGTGAGTTGCCCCGAATTCTCTCGCTTCGCTCGGTGCGTTTCTATGAAGATGACCTACTCGTTTGTATTTACTCTAACTATATGCAGCGTATACGGCTGCCAGGGCCAATTGAAGCCTTGCAACGCTGGGAGGGGGTTACGGGCACTCACGAGTATCAGCGAGTTATCGGCAGTGGAGGCCACGTTAGAAGCGAGCGTGGTGTGGCGTGGCGCGTCCTTCAACTGCACTCCCAGCCACACGCAGCGCACGCGGCCACCAGCTAAGCCCTTGCAAGGGGGGCGGGGGTCACGGGGGGCACTCACCAGTATCAGCGAGTTGTCGGCGGTGGAGGCCACGCTGGAAGCAAGCGTGGTGTGGCGCGGCGCGTCCTCCAACTGCACTCCCAGCCACACGCATCGCACGCGGCTGCCGTTGGCCAGTTGCATTGTCGACACCGTGTATAGCACGTCTGAAGAGGAAACATGTGTCTTTTACATAGCAATAAGGGATTTATTAGGCCTTCTTATGAGGCCCATAGTAAGCGACCACGTCTCAGCTCCGTATACCATCACTGGCAACACACACTGGTCAAAGACTTTTGTCTTGAGACACTGCGGTATTTCGGACGTGAGAATATCGCGAAGCTTCCCGAACGCTGCCCAGCCGAGTTGGATTCGAAGATTGACCTCTTTCTCGAAGTTGGACCTACGTAACTGGACTGTTTGTCCCAGGTATACATAATTGTCAACTTCGAGTGTAGTGTCTCCAACCTTTTCTCTCTACCTAGGGCGAAGCTGTATTCGTCTCTAACAAGCAGTCACATAAAGCTGGATTGTTAAGCAAAAGTTTTTATACTCACTAAGTTCAGTCCCATCTTTATGCAGCACAACGCCTCTATAAGTGCCGTCTCGGTGCTGGCATTCAGTAGTGCAGTCGCAGTGGTCAGTTTTACTTGCGCGCACGTGTTGCGGCGTGGATGTCGTCACGTGACTGCGCAGGAGTCGTTTCGCCACGCACGGCGTTTCGGGCGCGTCATCTGTAGGGAACAAGATAGCTAGCTATGGTATTTTCTTTGATAAGACCAAAGGGGGATTTGAAATGTTCTTATATCGATGGAAGATAATGGCAGCACGTCTCACGTAAATAATTTGATGGCGATCTAATGTAGGTGATATAGAAGTGACAAGTAATAAAGAAAACAATTGTTTTGACAAACATCTTACAAATTAATATTATAATATCAAGCTCTTTGTATCTATGTTTATGAAGATATAAACGAAGTCATGGAAGTTTATTGGCAAGAGATCATAAATCACTTACCATCATATTTCTTCCTCGGCGCTGACTCGGTCTGCGTTTCCAAATCATTGTCATTGCTCAAGCTATCAATACTCTCGTTGCCATTATGTTTCGGGAGATCTTCAATCTCACACCCTGGCGGTGGCATTTCGTTTATTGGCGTCAAAAAGTCCGCACTAGTCTCGTTAGAGTCACAGAAATCTAGCGAAAGACTGCTCTTGTCGTCTCTCACTTGCCCCGGCAAATTCGCCTTTAGCGACCTATACTTGCTGGAATCAAAAGACAGCCTTAAAGACGGGTCGTTCAGTCTAACTCGCGGCGCGTTTCCTGTGGGCGTCACTTCTTGGGAATGCTGTGACGTGTAGTAGATAGAGTCGGATTTCTCCGAAGGTTTGTTTGAAACGAGCTTTATGGCTGGATTGCTGTGTTCAGACCTTAGTATGTTTTCGGATCGCGATTTGGAGATGCTGCTGGGGCAGTAGTTCTCGTCGTCGATTGATATTCCTGACATGCCTGAAAATTAACAAACAACAACATTAATAAGTATAGTCAACACAACACATGTACTGACATATTATGACAGAATGACTACATAATTATACTCTTTTTCTGCAATTAGCAACTTCATAAAAAACCTGATTGTTAAGCTTTACGTACTTTCATCTATACAACTGAACATTGTGGCAACAGATTTTAATGAGGGCTATCGTTTTAGCGCTCACCAGTTAGCGCCACTGTAGAGTAAGGTCCTGTCACTTGCTAGTAGCGAAGACATTGGCACCAACTGGTGAGCGCTAAAGTGGCAGGAGGACTATCGCATTTGCACTCATCAAGATGGCGCCACTGTAGAGTAAGGTCCTGTCAATCGCCAGGGGTGGCAACTGTTAAGTATAAAAACGATAGCCCTCATTGGTATTGTGCCGCCTTATATCTGTTAACAAGTGCATTAGAAAGAAGCAGTAGTAAACACTTTGGTCTGGAATCTTTTTTTAAAATTATTTATTAAAATATGTTTTCTAGACGACTGTAAATGCCGAAGTTCTATCATATTTATTTTACCTGAAGTAACATCGGGTAGCGCCGATATATCGTTCCTCTGTTCCGTAGTACTGATACTGGATACCATATCCTGAGTAGGCGTGGGCGTATGCGTCACCAAGCTACAGGACTTGTCCAGACAGAGGGCGCTGGAAGACTTCTCTCTGGTGGTAGAGAGGACAGAAGGCTGGACGTTGAGAGACATGCAGGCTGACTTCTGGCTGCCGTTGAATGCTCCGCAGGAGTCTTCATCTGTGTCTGACGCTGAGGAGATAATAGCAGAGGAGTCTCTAAGTGTCCGTAGTTAGATATTGTATGCCGTTTAGCAAACAATGCTCTATTTATATTATCGGGCTCGATTCCTAGTTCAGTTTCCAATCTAATGCAAGCCTGCATTTGCTTAAAAAAGCGGCAAACTACACAAAATATGACTTTCTGGGCTGTCATAAAGGATCTCTCGGAAATGAAACTAACAATAAAGAAAGTCGATGTTTATGACATGGATTAAAACATCCTATGTATCCGTGTGATAAAATTGTTTGGCAAATAGGTCATTCTTCATATTTGCGCCATTAGAAGATTCCATAAAAACAGCAGATAAGAAAAATAAACGTTACAGAGCAAATCTACATGGGAAATAGCTGTCTTCAGATTAAAAACAATACATAAAAAAAAAATCCAAAAATAAGCAATTCCGTTTGTTTCAGTACCTGATCCATTGTTATCATTGTTGACTGGCGATAACGTCATCTGTCGCGCCCGATCTGGAACTTTGACCATGTCAGCCTCGCGGCAGAAGTGTTGGATGACGTCATCGATGTGGTGGCCCACCACTTCTGCGTGTGGTTTGCCGAATGTCAGCATGGCGAAGTGGTGGTTGCAAGCGGTTATGATGCCGCTCTCGTCGACTACTAGCAAGCCACTGACGTTGTATGTGACCTGTTGGAATAGATAGAATAATAGAATCGACAAATACTTCTATGCTTACTAATATGTGTCCGCTTATAGAAATGATAATGACCCTACGGTCATGTCGCTTTTTCGCATGCAAACGAAGGATCACACAGGGGTTCATAGATTTTAATTTAGTAAGTGTGTCAGTATTATACGGTGAACCGTTATTCAAATAGGGTAAAGTACACGACCAGGCGACACAAAATACAAACGTTTGTCTAACAATAGATTTTTGTGATTTTATGAATACTAATACGGTTGGTTGTGAATGGCCTTTGGCTAATGTGATGTAAAAAGGTACGTTAAACAACTATTTGAACACAAACTATGGTCTCAAAATTATTTTTACTCACCCTAACAGTAACTTCGAGAATAGGTCTATCCTTGTAAGACTTTATAGATGTCCATGGAGAGTTCTCGGCGATATCGGCTTTCGATATCCAAAGACATAGCGGGAAAGTGCCTCCGTCTAATGTTCTTCCTGAAAATGAATACATTCACAGACACTTTTCATTAATGTAACGAGCATGTGTGCGACGACAATGTTTGTCTATTTAGTTGTCAATGTCATAGCACAAATGACGAAATATCAAAAATCTGTGCCATCTTCTGTAGTTGTCTTCGTTTGAAACTATAGAAATATAAAACTAAGTTTATGTTATTACCAGTCGCCTTCTGTTTAGAAACACTTCTGGTCATCGGTGCATCAGCCGTAGGCAGCTGAATGGACGGCACCAGAGACGCTATGGGAAGACCAATCAACTTGTCTGTGGTATCCGCTTGGAACAACAGAGCGGCGTCTTCGCTCGAACAGGACAGAATCACGCCCGTGTCGGCATCTATCGTGAACTGGAAAAGAAGAATGTTAATGAGGGCTATCGTTTTTATACTTAACAGTTGGCACCCCTGGCGATTGACAGGACCTTACTCTACAGTGGCGCCAACTGGTGAGCGCTAAAACGATAGCCCTCATTGTACTGAGTGATCGATCCGGCAACGGTAACATCATCATCTTTATTCCCAACTTAAGTCAACTTTGTCAGATTTTATGAGTCGATTCATAGGAGTCTGGAATGGTTTAATAACAAAAGTCAATAGTGGCCAAATTATCTCACTGTTCAGAAATAGATTTAATTGTCGAGTTTATTGTGTAGATAAGTAACAAAAAACTGAAAGTACCTAATTGCTATATGATTTTATAATTTGAAACCGACCAAAAGCACATAGACTTGGAGCAAATAGGCATTGTCAAGGGCGTACTCAGCTTCTGGCCTAGGGAGACGATGGGAGGTTTAATCCAGCTGTAGTAACACATCTCCACCATTAAAGTTGAGCGTCAAATAGGAGTAGAAGGCTAATTCTACAATCCATTCTTAAAACCAAGTTAACAAAAACAGATGTTATCTAATTAAAATGTTTACTAACCAGTACATTTTTACAGCTGACAGGTTCGGCGACCACCAAGCAGGGGCCGTCATTGTCCAGCTGTCGGATCCACAGCGAGACTTGCACTGTGCCGCCATCTTTTGATAGCAATTCTACCACCTGTGAATAAAAAAATATGAATTTATTACCCGTAAATCATTAGTTTTTGAAGGAGCCCAGATACAAAGCTTTTCATTCTTGAATCACAGCTATGCCAGATATCGCCTGATTACTAGATGCTGCTGGCTGAAAATAGGGTTTCTAAATTGGCTCAGTTTTTATTTTCTATTATATTTAACAAATACCTTTCCACTCAGCAACACAATAGTCCGGTCTTCAGATACGTCTCCATCTTCAGGCTCATGCAGACTGAAGATCTTGCAGCTCCGTTTGTGAAGGAGATCAGAAAACCTGAGACCGCATAACTCTCCGGAGGAATATCCCAGCAAGGAACATGCTTTGTTATTTACAATTAGAATCTGAAATCAAAAGTAAGTGGTGAATTAGATATTGAGAATTGAGTCTTATAATATGATAAACCTTATGACACTTTTCTGTTCTATCCACATTCCACACACACCTCAATATAAAAACTGTCTGAAGGTCCTGAAAGAGCTATTAAAGTAAAGATCTGTATGTTTCAAAAGTAACACATTCTCTAGGAAAATATTGTAATAGGAAGCTTTCAGGCACTCAACAGAATGATCTAGGTGTGGTGTGTGAGTGTGCCAACATATAATGATGAAAAAATGTCTTACTTTAGAAGAGTTAGGTTCAATAGTGAAGACAGCCTTGCTTGGGTTGATGGCTTGCTGGATGCGGTCAGTTTGCGACTGTGCTGGGGAACCAGTCANGCCAGTAACTTCACCAGTTGCCAGTGATGTGTTGAATCGGAGTCCATTTGGGCCGTCAACTAAGGACGTTATTTGAACATTAATACCACATTCAACAATATTGCTAACTACTACAACACTATTATTACTAACTTTTACGACAACAACTAAATTCAATGAAAAGGACAGAAAAAAATGAAATAATTTATTTATGTTTGATCAGTTCGTCACAAACAACAGTTACTGTGCATTTCAAAAACCAACACCTTGATGTTAAGCATGTTAAAAAGACAAAGTGCTATGTTATACAAACCTCTGACAAAGTCAATGGCTGTTTTGGTTTTAGTCGGTGTTTCTAGCTCCATCTTGATGGGCCGAACTCTACGGTTCAAGCGTGGGAAGCTTTGGTTACCTTCAAATGAGCTGTTTCTAAATACATCGCGCAAGCGTGGCTGTGGTTTGACCGTCCTATAAACAACAGTTATGTTTATGCAATGGTATGTTATTTGTTTTATTGATGAAACAGTTAATTTAGTAGTCAAGAATGTTAGTCAATTGTTATGATGGTATAAATTAGTGAAGTGCAAATGGTAATGTTAGAATACTTCAGTGTGCAAGTGTATAAAATGTAGTGTTGCCTTATAGTAATTAATTACTGGTGTTTGTGTATGTTGTAAGGCTGGTTTATATAGTTTTAAAGGGTAAAATTTTGATAATTCAGAGAAAGTAGCTTACCTGCACCTGTAATCAATTTCTGGATATTTTTCAGGTGTATATTGGCAAGGGCTTTCATTCCTCAGTTCATGTATATCAAATTTAGGCTTCTGTAATGATATTTCTCTAGTTAAAAATAGACAAAAAATCAATAGGTACATGCTGTACTGGGAAACAGATAAAAATACATACATTTCTAGGTGTCAAATTAAGATGTTCCGGTGAGTAAACATCCACAAATCTTCCCAATCTAGGCTTTACAGGCGTCCAACCCGGCGTATCTTCGATTGAACACCTAAGAAAGCACCAACACAATTGTATTTAAAATTTATAACATGTTCTTTAACAAAACCTGTACAAATACCGCGAAATTTCACTTGCCATAGCGTTATGATTTATTTACATCCTTCGGATTATTTTTGGAAGGAAAATCAATACATTACAGCGCGCAAGTTCAAATACTCGTTAGTTTTACGTACCTGTTGAAATCACCGATTTCCTTGGCATCTCCTAGGTCAGGACTGGAGGATTTTATGAAATTCATGATTGTGTTTCTTATTTTCGTCCTGTATTAGCGAAATTTCGTAAAAATCGCCGTTGTACGAGATTTTCAAACAAAAGACAAAGTTCAACGTTTGGACAGCTGTTGTCAACTGTCAAAACTTTTTGTGATGTTTTGTGACCAATCATGGTTTATGTTTATGTTGAATATGTGAAGCTAAACTTTAATTAAATAAACTGAAACAAACGTAGACTATGTACATTTAATTCACGTACGTATTAAATTAATTTAATTTCTTCAAGGAGAAAGAAAAAAACTTCAATAATTTGTAATTACTGAATAGCGCCATCTATTTTTCTGAACATTTAATAATACAAACTGTAAGCAGCCATCTTTAATTTACCATGCTATTAATAGCACTAAACGACCTAGTTAGAACTATTTAAAATAGATGGCGTTCATTTTCAAGAAAATATTTTTATTTCACAAAAGGCATAATAATTAAAACAAAAGTATTTAAAATAATAATTTTCGAAAAATTTGTGAGAGCATGCCAATAACTTATTTTTTAACAAATTTGAAATATGGTTCTTTTATACGGAAAGATACCTACAATTTCGCCACTACTTTCGACTGGGAGCGTGGCGTCTCCTGTAATCCGGCTACTCGGAGGTCGGAATCGGAGGATGGTTTGAGGTCGGGAGTCCTGGTGCTGAGTGGCCCATGTTGACTGGACGTCCGCACTAAGCCTGGTATTAATATGGACCTCCCGGAGGAGTCTGGGAGGTGCAGGTTCATTAAGGAGAGGCGAACCGGGCCAGGGGGGAAACCCAGCAGCCAAAAGTCTCCGTATCGGGCAGTAGTGGGATAGCGGCCGGGAGTGGGTGCTTAGTAACAGCCTGACCAATATAATCAGACCCGTTTCTTTTGCAGTTTTATTAAATAAATGCTTTTATTTTTGCCGTAACCACCTGTAAATATCTAAGTTAAGTAGGCTTAGCTGATGTCTCGTGTTACTTTAATTGTTGCGTAACATTATATTATTGTTATCGAGCGTTTATGTACCTATAGCTTTTTAATCTCGTAGGTACTCGGGTCTCGGGCAATACGTTAGATAAATCGAGGTTCGAGGCCAAAAATCCCGGTTCAAAGTATAAAAAACTTCAGTAGAGTAATTGAAATTGAAAGTTTCTTTAAAACCAGATGTTGTTTGGTTGTCCTAATTATATAAGTAAGACAATCATTAATATAAACCACCTTACCCTAGATAAATAACGTATATCAATAACATAACACCACATAGTTANTACGTTAATGCTTCCATATCAGATAGCAATTTTCCACAGTTTTTAAAGCGAGGAAACGAAAAACATCAGATTTTTTGTTCTCAATAGGTACCATAAACATACAATTTTGCGGTAACATTATTGCAATGATCTGGATTTTTCCTAGAAGGCAACGAGCGCGTTCCGCTTGCAGACTTTCAAAACCCAAGGTCCTTTCGACAGATGTAAGTACTACGCCCAGTTCCTACAACGGCTAACTAGTTGTCGCCCGCGGCTCTGTTTGCGTTTATTTAAGTTGATAAACGACGGTTGACCGTTTAAGGCTACTTGGGCGGGTTTTTGTCAATGGGTTGCAAGATTCGTCACATTTGTAATATTCGTATTTTGTACGAGGTATAAGTATTGACAGTAAATTCGTCTTCAAAGTACGCGTCAATTTTTCACGAGGCATAGGAACTATTATTAAGTATGATGTGTGACGAATTAACATAATTTTCGCTGTCCCCATTTACATTTCCTGTGACGAGTCGACTCTATTACAAACGTAAGAGTCTGAAGAAGGAAAATCATTGTAATAACATTATAAAATATTTAAGTAGAGCCAAGTTAGGTAGTCTAGTTTGCTTTTTTATTTAGAACAGAGTTTTTTTTGCAAGACAGTATCTAAGTTTTTTAAGTTAATAAAAAGTCGGTAACGCACAGACATTACGATTTTCTCTACATTAAACGTTAGTTGTTTAGCTCAAACTTGAGCCGTATTCTACACGTAATAAGAACATGCTGTTTATTGTCAATAAACGTATTAGTTGCTCTATAAAATGGTTTATAGACTAACTAAATTAATTATCGGCCAAGCCAGCCACGGACAATGGGCATGATTGTAGGCCAACGTTCACGGATATGGGAGTATTTAGCTAGTTGTAGATACCCACTTATAATCACTTGCTTACAGACGTATGGCCAAGGTTGGTAGAATTTATTTCACTGCGGAAGAAAAATCACTAACATCCGTCTAATTTACATTTCTGATCTTGAGGACTAAAATGTTTTCGGTTGACGAGGCTCATTTAAAGATTTAGATGCTGTTAGAGCTTATTAGAGTCAACTCTACGATCGGCGATCTTGTACTTCATACTTAATCATTGAACTAAGTAACATTTATAGTAAAACTAGCGGCCGCCCCCTACTTCGTACGCGTAGAGTGGTGGACCCCGTTTTACCCCCTTAGGGATGAAACGAGTTTTTTTAGGATTTTCCCGGAAATTATTCGAACTTTTCTTGCCGTAAAAACTATCCTAGAACTTCAACAAACATTAAAAAAAAGAATTGGTAAAAGGCGTTATTGAGTTATGCGCTTACCAACACATTTTGCGATTATTTTTGTATTAAAGAAGATAAAAATGTAGAGTATTAAGCGACGATTAGGAGAAGGTAGGAAGTGGATGGAAGGGCTATGGCGATCTTTGGTGGAGGATTGCGTCCAGCAGAGGATTTTCATGAAAGATTCATGGATTGATAAAATTATGATTTATTTAATGAAGAGTTATGTAGAGTACATAAAGTAAGATTCAACATGGTGGCAGATTTTAAAGTCAACTTGTCGAAAGGGTCGAGTAGAATCATTTCCCACAGTCTGAAAAACTGTTACCGCAGTTTTCAAATATCTTTTTTTCCTTAATTTGACACTGTAACATAACGGAATGCCCAGAATAAAACCTAACAGATAAATTGAGATCAAATGCAAAAAAATATTTGAGGCAATTACTTAGTTCGCATTGTTCGCATAGAGTTCCTGTAGTGTAATATCATAAAAGATTGGCAAGTAGGTTAGCTAGTAATAGTAGATGCGCACACGTCGACGTGCGTGGGTTGAAGTCTTTTATTTTTCACCATTCTTTATTTATATGAATGAGGCATCTTTTGAAATTGAAAGTGTTGTCTGGCTTTACGAAATTGATACGTTTGTCGGTCGGTTAAGGTGTATCGGTTATGTCATGGTTATTAGGTGTGAATGAATAGGTATAGTTAGTAAATGTAGTTTGTAGTTAGTAAGTAGTTTGATTTACAATAAGCAGTGTACGGATTTTTTGTTTTAGCTATAGGCCTCATACATCTATTTGGTTTTCCTTTTAGGCATGACCAAACAACCGGAACTAAAGTTTTGAATAAAAAGGTATTAAAAGTAATTACTGCGCTTAGTTACTGGGGGAGCACAGAATACATTAAGTAAGTAAGAGTACAAGTGGAGCACAATTTTGTGTGATATAAATAAATTGAAATGACATGAAATAAAATTACAAAATAAAAATTACACGGCCATAAATTCTGTCTTGAAAATTCAACTGAAAAAGAAAATTCTGTTTTGAAAAGCTTTTTTTTGTTTTAAATTGAATAAAACTCGTGTTACTCATTTGTTAAGCTTTTAAAAAGAAATGTGTATCATTTAGTACCTATGAAATAAATAATTTTCTTTCTTACTTTCTTTCTTTTTAAATAGAGTTTTGAGCTTCGATCTACTATAATATACGCACCTTAGAGCACCTTAGAATGGGATCCTGGGAGAAAATAGTGGGAGGTCTTTGCCTAGCTATTATTTAAAAAGATAAAACGAATATAAGTAAGTTAAACAAGATTTTAGATTGCTATCTACACCAGTGACCCGGGCGAAGGGAAGTTGTAACCTTTGGTGGCTGGCATTACATTCACCGAAGTATACCTAGGTATACTTAGGTAATACCTAGGTATTACGGGCAATGAGACGCTGGGCAATGAACTATCGCCTTTAAGTGTTGCTAATATTTTCAATTTATTTGCCAAACTTTCGTCATTTTAATATCGTTAGATATTAGATACTTTAGTAATCGAGTTTCTAAACTGAGAACTATGCAACACGTTTGTCAATCAAGGTTGGGTATTCTATACAATGTAAACTCTACTACCTATGTAGAGTACTACAGTTTATTAGAACTTAAATTAGTTAAATGTAGACTTTCATGAAAAATTTTCTTATAGAAAGAAATTTTCAATTAGAAGAGTCTTTTGCATTTTAATAAAATACAGGGTGTTTGGCGCATCGTGTGCCAAAATGATTTGGCGGATAGAATGGGTCATTTCCTATATTTTCATTGTCTTCAGTGTATACGTTGCCGAGGCGGACATTTTGAACAAAATTTGTAATAATTAATAAACGATCAAATAATTATTTTCGTCTTTAATTTCAAGAAATCCACATTGAAAAACGATAGGGAAAAGGTTTTTACATTGCATAAGATAAATAATTTTTACCTGTTAGGTGTTCTACGTGCTATTCACACAATAAGGAGCTATAAACACAAATTTCGCAAATCATTATAACTTTTGATGTGGAAAATGATTCCACAAGTAATTGTAAAATCATTAGGCAGTAATAATTTTCATACCTAGGTAGGTATAAAGTAGGTACTTTCATTCATATTTTCATAAGTTGTATATCATAAATACAGAAGACTCTACTATCGTCTTTATCTTTAATCTTCAAAATAGTACAAGCGTTTGCTTGCTTAGTTCCGACATTTTACTCTGGTTCCGACCACAGTTCCGACTTTAAACTCATCTGAAATCCGCTCGCATTTTTGCATTCAATTCAAGTTATCAGATAAGTACTTATCAAGATAAGTGTTTCACTAGCTGACCTATAAGCTGCACTAACGTAATGCCCATCTGGCCGTAATGACCAGCTATTTTGACCTCTCGGTATAAGTTCAGCTTGCGCGAATACTGCCGAGTTCGTTGACATTTTAACTGTTAGATTGGATATTAACTTCGAGTTTGCCATTGGAGATGGCATAAATAAATATTTTTACAAAAACAGATGAAGAATGTGTCTCATTTAGTGGTATTA